TGAAGAACATCTGGAACTTACAACAACTATCAACCAACACAAATCACAAGACAGTTCTGCTTTGTGGGTCGGAAACTTGGAGAACTACGAAAGGCATCATCCAGAAGATATAAGTGTATATGCAAAATACTTTGGATCCGTTGGCCGGAAACTATTAGCAACAACCTACTGTGGGAGAGAACAAACCAGATTCCATAGGAGGAGGGAGCACTAGAAGTGGATAAGCCACACATTGAGGAAAGCACCCAACTGTGTCACGAGGCAAGCCCTCACACGTAATCCTCGAGGCCAAAGGAGGAGAGGAAGACGAAAGCACACATTACGCCGAGAAATGGAAACAGTACATGAGAAGAATGAAAAACAATTAGATAGAACTAGAAAGGAAGGCCCAGGACAGGGTGAGCTGAAGAATGCTGGTAGGCGGCCTATGCTCCACTGGGAGTAACAGGTGTAAGTAACTATGTAAGTAATCATAAGTATAATTATGTGGCTATCAGTCCAAATGCCTTGATATCACATGTACTATGTTATAACAATGATCTTGTAGGAAGCTCAAACCTTAGACTTTATTTTAGCCGGCCCTTACTACCAAAAGTGATTTACGATCTCAAGAGAGAACTGACAGTCCTTGAGTGATTTGAACACGAGCTATCTAATATCAAAATTAAAAACTTTATCTATTACATCATGTACCCAGGAAGGCAATGTTAACAACTAAACAACTTGATTATGATTACACCCAACATACAAAAAAAAACTTTCATTTTAGTCTTATTTTTTTTCAATTTTATTTCTTCTCTTAAATAATCATTGATACTAACTAACTAACTAACCAATTGATTCAATATATGATTCCATTATATGGATCAATAATTACTGTAACACATACAACCCAGAAATCTGTTTCAACTTTCATAATTTTATTGTGTTTAAATAAATAATTAGAATTATTGACTTCATTACATTGAATTATTCATGCAACAACAACTTCAATGGCCAATATAAATTCTTTATTTCACTTAGATACAATATTTATAACTTTTATACATATGTATTTATTCTAGATGTATATGTCAATGAACATGTTGTTGTAGGTGTACTAGTCAAACAAACTCTTTTAATTTGCTATTACATATCATAACAGGCCAAATTAGGTCAGTGGTTTAAACCAGCGCTTATTATTATTATTATTGTTATTAAGACTTTTTACAAGTTTTGAACACCAGCATGTTCAACATTCATTAAATTCATTCATATGCCGAAATGATATAGATTGGTTTCAAGTTATGCAATAGATTTTCATTGAAATTTCTGTTATATAAAAGATTATCATTTATTTTCAAGTGTTCGAATCCGACAACTGTTGATGTTAATGATTCAACTTTGATTAATCAATTTTGGTATATGTAATATCAAATATCTGCAATTAATAGTTTAGAGGTTTTGTAGAGATTATTAAATTTTCATTGATTAGATTACGAATTTAGTAAGTAACGCATTGATATTTGAAACCGCCAAATGCCCTGGTATGGCCAACGGTGGGGAAAGTCCACTCTCCTGCTCGAAATGGTCTCACATGGCCACGTGTATACAACCACTGTCAGAGAAGTCCTACTCTCTGCCTTCTTGTGTCTGATGTGTTGTTTACGAAATCGAGTGAACGAAAAGTGAATGTCTGATTCTTTAACCGGGTTGGTGAACACGGACAGTTCACCTAGAGAAGTTGGAAAACTCTGATTCCAAATCACTGGTGCACATAAGTTCCAGTATTCTGAGGAAACGAATAGTGTATGAAACAATTGTTGGTCACCGGCTATCATGGGACTGCATCTCCTGACGTTACTCCACTGCCTTATGGATCATACCTTTAGGTCGAAGGTTCCGGGTGTGACCCCCTGAGAAAACCACCTGTTTCAGTATGGGCACCAAGGCAGTATCACAACCCACACACAAATCAAGTGAGTTGTATGGCACATATGTATTCGGTACCCCTTTGTACCAATATTGATGTGTTCAAATAAAAATAAATAAATAAATAATATCTCTACTAGATTAGTAAATGTACACTATTGCCAAGTCCCAATACTAAACCAAAACAACTATCCTAGTACTTTTTATTTTTTTAATGCTTGTCTAGTTAATAATAATCCACAATATATACTACTTATAATAAAGATTAAAATTTTTCTTACTAGATTAACATTTGTTAATTGCACTTGTATTAAATGATTGGTGATTCATGATTATATTCTACTAGTTTAGTAAACAGATGTACCATTGAAATTAAACGTTACAAAAGTGTTTAAATTAACAACAGCAGCAACAACAACAACAACAACAACAATAAAAGAAACCTTTGAACATGATCAATATCACATAGTGTAGCGTATATTAGAATGGATGGTCAGTAAATGTGTTTGAATATTGGTGAAAGAAATGTTGTATTGTTTTCCCTTAAATGGATGATAAATGTGTTTTCGCTTTTGTATTTTATTTTTGAAGAAAATTTTTTCAAAGGTTATTCATTGCTTAAATGATTTTTCAATGGGAACGATTTAAGGATTAAAGATTCATATATATTAGTATTAGTACTAGTTAGGTAATTTACACTTCTAGATTCATTATGTATATTGGTTCTTCTTCGAAACCCTAAACCTAGGTTTCGTGCTATTTGGCACTCGTCAGCAAGGTTTACCTGTATGTAGGACTGAGATGTATTTACAATTGTGAGTAATGTTCAAACCTAGGTCCAGGGTTTCCCGTTGACTACCACCAACCACTATCTTATCTCAATATAGTACACGCGATGGTGACCACATTGCAACTTGGTCGATAGGATTCAGTCCGCACTAAGAAGGACCTGAGATTGATCACCACCCAGTGATAAAACAATCGTAAGTTTTCCAAACTAACCCAACAACACTGATAACTGATATATGTCAGTTCTAGTGATAATTTTTCAGACAGTTTGTAAACAAAAGAATTCACTCGTGTTTAGAATTTTTTGAGTTCGAAATACAAAATAACATCAAGACATTAATACGAGATCGGGTTTATACAGTGGTATAGTAAGATTGATTTTAAGGTTTATTCTATTATTTGAAGGATATGCTTTTTTATTTCAATTGTTTTTCAAGGCAATACCGAATGCTACAGATGAAGTCTATGCATTATAGTCACAACGTCTCAAGAGACTTGACATTGTGGTGCAATTTATTGGATGCAATAACATTCATTTACGAGGTACAGATTCATGTACTTGGCTTCAATTCAAATCCTAAGTATGAGAACCAGTGATACTATTTGGTCGCCTAAGCCAACATAGGTAGAGCAGAGTTCAAACATGAGAATAAGTAGTTGTAATTTGAACGCTTTAACCGTTGATACATCGCTCCGTTTTGTATTGACAGCAAATAACTGATATTTATTAACAGCATAAGAAAGACTGATGTAGCAGAGGAGCATCAACACCTTTATACTTTTGGACAGTTTTCATATGCATTCTTTAAATGAGAAGTTGAAGAGAAAACACTTTAACTGTCAGCTACATATTTCTTGAGTATATTTCATGTATATATATATATAGGATATTTTCCTGAATTACTCAAAACCACAATTAAGTCAATCGGGAGAAAAAGGCAGAGAGAATCAGAAACGAAGTATAACAAGAACAAACTCAAAAAAAGGAATAAAACAACTAGTTAATATTTCTATTGTCATAAACATAAAAAAGGGGTTAGTAAATGTAAATAAACATGTGAAAGAAAAGATACAGAGAAGACATAGGATAAATACAAATGTTTCTCTCATTTTGTATACAACTCTATTAATAAACAAGAACAAGGAATGGCAATGAAGTCAAACAGAATGAGAAAAGGAGAGATAAGTACAAAAAAAGGCTGAAACGTACACACAAAAAACAAAGCCATGTATACATTTGACTACAAAAGTCAATCAAAAAGAAAAGAAAAACTCGAATAACATAAATAGTGAAGGTGGATTAATCACAGACCTGCTATTACTGCACATTTACTGATGTAACTTCAATAATGAAAATATGCTTAGCAATCACAGAAAAGTTCAACTCAAACTAAAAAAAGACGAGTTAACATCTAATAACACCATTCCTATCGTTGATACTACCACCACCATTATGACTTCTCTTTTTTGGTAGATACAACAAGCTAGTGATGAGAAAAACAAGATAAATAAGGTAATTTTATAAACTAAGGGAAAAAAGATAAACAAAGATTTAGCTAAACACACTAATCAAACATAGAAGTGTGTCAATAAGTAAATACTATGCAGTAATCTAACTGTTAACTTATTATTTTCAAGACAAACTACTAACAAGTTTGTGAGTACTATGCAAAATAAATGATAAAAAAGTGTGTGGGGGGTAGGTCCGTTAATTTGGTGATTCGGTAAAATGTGAGAATTAACGCCTATCAAGAAAGAAGAGACAAATAATTACAGGTAAAAGATAATGGAACAAATTAACAAACATTTTTTCCTGTTCAACATAATGAATCATTCATAATTCAGATAATTGTACATCACCTACATTTGGTTACTCTACATGAATATATGTGTATAAATTAGTGATGATTGTGATAATAATAATAATAATACTAGCAATAATAATAATAATAATAATAATAGTAATAACAATGAATAAGAGGAATGTATAATTTGCAATTATAATTTGTGTAATCCACAATAACAATTATAATAATCATAATAACAGAAAATCAACAGGATATATTATCTCTCTATTTTTAATCCCCAGTTTTATACTGATTACAAGGAATGCAGAAGTATTGTGTGTTTGTATGTATGTGTGTGTGCGAATGTATCAGATTCTCTGATTTATCAATTTGCTTTTCCCTTCAAAAGTAGTTTTCTGGCATTAAATGTAATGCTTGATTGTTGTAATTATTAATAACAACAATAACAAACCATAATATGATAACACAATGATAATGATAAACAACAAAAGAGCCAGAAATGAAAGAAGAAGCATGAACAAATAAATGAAATAGATGAACAGATAAATAAACAAATACTTGTTCATTTCTTATAATTAGAAAAATTCATAATGCAACACGTCGTCTAATACCAATATTTGTAACCAAATGCAAAACACGAGATTCTGGCCAATCAATCCATACTTCTAAACGATCTGGAAGTGGATGTTGATTTTTATTCATGTCATTATTATTAACAAATTCATTATGCGATAATGCTGAAGTAGAAGATAATTTTGGTGTAGAAGACGGAGGAGGAATCAATGGTGGGACAGGATGAATAGATAATGGTTTAACTTGTTGTCCACCCATACCAAAAAATCCAGTTGTATGTAGCTATTAAAAAAAATACAGCATATAAACAATTATTCATGAATGAGAAAGGTATTCGCTGGCTAATATAAAGGATGAGTTTACTCCCCAATAATTCCCTTCGTTCTACTTTAAAAATTATGTTCTTTAAAGATAGAGGATATTCAGAGGTTACTTGTATTCGATCACAGGGACCACTGATCAAGAAATTCCTGGGTTAGGAATAGGGTACTAAGAAAGAAAGGACATGTATTACGTACGTCCATTAACCGACAACCTTGACGCGCAATTATCGCTGGTGTACAAGTAGGTTGGAAGAAAGTCAGGGGTAAACAAACCAAGACGTAGAATCGTTCCACAAAAACACCAGCTATTGGACTGAACCATTTAATTAAGTAAATACTGCCTGATTGTCGCTCACGTGATTATCGTAATCACTGGTTAGAGACTTCTGGGTGACATGGCTCAAAATTGTTCTCAATGGCACAAGTGTATTTAATCTTTTTCTATCCTTAAATCCTACGTTTCTAAATTCCTCATATATTTTTTCTGTTTTGCACTTGTTTATAATTTCAAGGATCGTATCCTCGATGTTTAATTTTTCTATCAAAACTAATATTTTTATTGCCTCTACTGTTCTGAAATTCACCCAGACAATTTTTTCTCGCTGTGCTAATAAAGTATGGCAAATTGAACCGGTGTGCATATATGACGGGTCTTATGTTGTGTTCGATAGACTGAATTATTATTATACACTTGAGAACTATGATATTCTCTTGTACAACTCTTATTGTTAGCTTTGATTTCCCTCAATGTTGGAGAGTTCAACAATATCACTCGGAGAAGTCAGTGGAAGGTCAGAAAACGTCAGCAAATGTTTTAATCACTTAGTATATAGTGCACACTTCTTAAAAACACAGAAAAACCAAGAACCCCACGTTATAATTCAATTCAATGGTTAAATATACTGTTACTATGTTCAGTGTGCTATAACATCAAGGTCATATGAAACTAGAAATTTGCCCGATTTTTGTACATAACCTAACCCAACCTTGGACTAAAACTCATATTTACACTTCACTCCTTTTTCTCAACTGTTCGAATTGAGGTGTAGAAGTGATCAGTGATTATAGGAAGCATCAAGGGAGCAGGTAATAAGTGTTCAAATAGTAGACTTATCACACGTTAACTGATGTTATTCGTTTCACCATTTCTCAATTATTGTTAATTGTCCACTCATTATTTGGTTTTGTATCACTTATGTGCAAACTGTTCTTTCTTATTTATAATGCATTGTGGTCATATAATTGATGTATATAGTCCGAACAGTGTGGCAGCAGCCTCAGCAGCAATAGGTCTCAATATACACAAAGGGAAAAGCAGGATTCTCCGATACAACACAGCATGCACCAATCCAATCACAATTGACGGAGAAGATTTGGAAGATGTAAAAACCTTTACGTATTTGGGCAGCATCATTGATGAAAATGGTGGATCTGATGCAGATGTGAAGGCGCTGATCGGCAAAGCAAGAGCAGCATATTTACAACTGAGGAACATCTGGAACTTAAAGCAACTGTCAACCAACACCAAGGTCAGAACTTTCAATACAAATGTCAAGACAGTTCTACTGTATGGGAAGGAAACCTGGAGAACTACGAAAGCCATCATCCAGAAAATACAGGTGTTTATTAACAATTGTCTACGCAAAATACTTCAGATCCATTGGCCGGACACTATTAGCAACAACCTACTGTGGGAGAGAACAAACCAGATCCCAGCGGAGGAAGAAATTAGGAAGAAGCGCTGGAAGTGGATAGGACACACATTGAGGAAAACACATAAGTGCGTCACAAGACAAGCCCTGACTTGGAATCCTCGAGGCCAAAGGAGGAGAGGAAGACCAAAGAACACACTACGGCGAGAAATGGAGATAGACATGAGAAAAATGAACAAGAATTGGATGGAACTAGAAAAGAAGGCCCAGGACAGAGTGGGTTGATGAATGCTGGTCAGCGGCCTATGCTCCATTGGGAGTAACAGGCGTAAGTAAGTAAGTAACATAATCAAAAACACTAAAAATAGGAGAAAGAACACAAGTTTCACATTGACAACGATATTTTCAAACCATTGAGTTGGAAATCTTCAACTTAAACTAATTAACTATTAGGTATTTCCTGCTTTTAAAACGGTATTCCAACTAACAATGAAACTCATTATAGAAATTATTTGAAGATTTCACTAAACTTTAGGCAGAAATGAGGAAAAAAACATTTGAAAGAAGCCAAAAACAATAAGACAAAAACAAAATTTTACCTGCCATATACGTAGTGTACTTTCAGTCAATGAATAAGTTGCTACTTGTCGGCCATCAGAATTAAAACAAATAGCAGTGACAGGACCTTTATGCCCCATTGTTACCTAAATATTCAATAATAATAATAAATTAATCTTAGTCATTTACATAAGTAGCAAATTTTTTGTTTCAAGAAAGAAAAAGCGTGTGGGGTTATCCATTGACCATTAAGTGTTCAATAATGGTATGGTATCCAAGATTTTCGTAAATTTTTCCGCTCATTGAGTTGATGAGTATTGTATAAAAATGTAATTGTTACTGAAGATCTAACTTTAAGCCCGAATTCTCAATGTACTTTTGTTTATTAGCCAACACATTGGGGATATGCTACATTGCTATGCTCACAGTAGACAGATATGGATAACCTCAAATGTTCGGAATGAAACGACAATGAGAATTACACTCTTATAAACAACACTCATCCAGTACATGAGCGAAGAATTGCCCAAAAATGATTATAACCACAGACAATCAAAACTGAAGAACACATAGACAATTTTGCACGAAAAGCCACTATGTACAGCATACAAGGGATTAATTGTGATTCTGACATAAATGAGCTAATTTAAATTGCTAATATACGAATCAACAAAAGTATGATCCATACCCTTATGTTTAACTTAATGTAAGAATATCATACAAGTTAAAGCCTTACCAACAACTATGATAAGTCAATACTTGGGAAAAATAGAACTCCTTATATACAATTTACAGGAATATAAAACTACAGTGGAAAAGAAACCAAATATTTTCTGCTGATTGGTTCAAAAACTATCCAATAAGGTAGTTCCGATCATCATGTAGCAAGAATGAACCGAAACGTTCTCCAGTACAAGAATGTCTTTTTTTTTACCGTAAAATGTTCATTTTTAGTTTAGTCACTTTTATCAGTTCTATAGAATCGTTTGTTAATCCCAACTCTATTAAAATTTTTCGCAGTGAATACTTTCAGTTGGAAGCTATAAACAAACTCTACATAGCTTGAATGGTAACTGATTTTTCTCATTATTACCTCTAATAAATAAATATTTAAAAATTTGTATAACTTGAAGTTAATAAAATATCTTTGAAAAGAAATACTCATGAAATGAGATCACATGAATATCAGCACGACTCTATCAAAACTTACAAAGTATCGTCCAATTTTAAAATCATAAAATGTTAAAGAACCATTAACACCACCTGTACACGCTTTCTGTAAACGTGTATGACTTGAATATGCGTGGAAACTAAGGCAAAAAAAGTTGGCAAGAAGTAGAGAGAGAGGGAGAGAAAACAAAACAATCACATAATAATGATAATCATAATGTGGTGTATGGTACTTATGTCTGTTGACATAAGCAGTATATAACACCAATCAGAAATGGGATGCTTGGCAGCAGAAGATTAAGAAGCTCGAATTGAAGATAACAGCAAGCAAGATTAGTTATTCTTAGTAGGTTTTACTACCTTAATTTATTCGTGTAGGCATTGACTTAACTTACATAAACCACTAAAAACCCTCAAGTACTGGATAACCGTTTCATCCTCGTCTAATAGTATTTAGCAGTGTGCATCCACGACTGAATGAATTTGTGGAACAAAAAGTATGAGATAGTATTGAAACCCAAGATCTAAGGACAAACAAACAGTGTATGAATCTGAGCCAATATAATCGACTGCGTACCATATCATCCAACATCTGCAACCATTGGTCAAGATAATTGCAGTTAAATAGGGGAAATCCCTGTTTTTATGCCGTAAAAACCCGTAAACAATAACTCAGTATGAGGTTTGAATCATAACCCAGGACAATCAGCAGGCCAGCTTTAGATCATTCATTCACGATCTCATAATAATTCGCATTTTAAAGTTCACCCAACATCGGTGATGATTAAGATGATTGGAGGTAGCCAGTAGGAAACCCTCCTTGTAACGTTGAAGGAACAGAGGTTCTCTGGTAATGACTGTGATACCGTAACCAAAAATCAAGTTTATTCAAGTGATTAACGAGCTTATGTTTTTTTACGAAATCAATCGGTAACACACCTCATCTCTGTACGACTAACGGAACCCTGATATAGTGCAAAACAAATTGCTAAATACGTTGTCAGTGACAAAATAAATCACCGATTCTATAAGCAGTAACTGAATATTGTATAATAATTTAAAAAAACATAAGTATTTTCCACACGATTTAATGATTTGGCACTTACGGTGTTAGCGCAGGAAATATATAATCTAGTCCGCGTTCTTTTAAACGCGTACGATCAGAACAAGCTAAGATCACTTCAACAACTTCCGGTAATACATCTTTAATATCATTTGGTCGTCTAATACAAAGTTGTTCAAATAAACGTAATACTTCTTCACGAGCTTTAAACATTGGTGGATATTGTTGATTATGCAGCACCGAAGATTCTGTACCTAAATTAAGAGAAAACATTGCAATAAATTCATGTCAATTGTTTAAAATTTGGAAGCTTGTAATTTACAATTAGTACAGTAAGCTATTTACTAGGTGCAAATTCGTGTACTTGGTTTTGAGTTACACACTAATTATGAGGAGTCAGTGATACTATCCGATAGCTTGAACCAGAGTAATTGGAGAGGGAATTGAACCCAAAACTTTGTGGTTGAAAGTCGAATCCCTTTACTGGTGAGCCATAATTTCGCTAACAAATTATTGGGGTTTATTTGAATCGAATTATAATACAGGGAATTTATGAAAATTGTAAAATTTTCATTTTAAATCACGAACTGATATTAACTAGATCATCAACGAAAACCCGAAAGCACTGAATGACCATTACGTTACTCCACAGTGACTTTAAATAATTGAAATTAAATCTCCAGTAAAAATCACGCTCTTGTATGCGGTATTCACCCAGTAAAATAAACGGAAAACACTGGATAATGCACTTCTGTTGATCATTGAAAAAAAATGATTATTCTCCTGTGCATAAACACTTCAATCGATAAGATTAATTTGCCGCAGAAAAACTAATTGAAGTTGAAAAACGTGAACTGATAAATAATGATTGAAAGTTTATTTATTGACTATTATTATCAATCGATTTATTCAATATTATATTTTTGGTGCAATATGGAATCCTCAACAAAAAGTATATCAACAAGTTTCCCTTTCCTTTTGCTTGATCAATCCTAACGATAAATATTGAAATCTTGCAATGATACTGAGCAATCGTCATGTAAATCATTTAATCAGGATTGTTGAATAGTGATTAGACTACAATTACTGTTATATCCGAGTGGAGATTAAATTACAGGTAACTTCCGAGGACTATTCATGGACTAATATTCTATAAAATATTCTTATTGTATAACTATTCAACAATTGCATTATGTATATTTGTATCCCTCTTATGACAAGCTTTATTTTGGCCTATAATTTATTATTGTACGATTTACGGTTCTTAAGTTATGTTCAGTTTATTAACTACTGCCTCCCACATTCACAGCCACTTTTTGGGCTTATTTGTGTACAAATATTATTTCCTATTTTATGGTACGTTGCGGTCTGTATGATTGATATATAAACCAAGTATGCCTGAAGTAAACGATCTGCTCTGATTCGGAAGCTGGTATTTTGTTCTGGACTCAAGTGGAAGGGCTCGTAGGACATAGGACCAATAAGGACGCTAAACTGCCCACACCGGTTGAACGTCATTGGTTGGCCTAGTGTGAAGATACGTATAAGTCGTATTCGGATTGGTAGATAAATCGTGAGATAGAAAAGTCAGACATTCAAGGTCATAACAATTGGCGACGGGGTGGAGAAAAGTTTTGAACCCTCAACTTCAAGTCATAACAATTACAATACATATTTAGATTTGGTACAAATTGATGACAGTCCACTTTGCCAGTTATTGATCGTCAGTTAGATGTTAGTAGTTCAGCAATCGACATCTGATTAATGTACAGTAAAAGGTTGTAAACTTTCTATATATATACACTCCTGAATAGGTTATACGATTAATAGACATAATGATGTGTTAAGACAAACAAAAACGGATAGCTTGTTGAAATGTCTAGTTGAGAGGAACAAGTAGCCCAAATATTCAAGCAGTCAGTTTTTATAATGTCCATTTATATTTTAATTGAATTAGTTATTATTTATTTCAATATTTTGATAATTATTTTCATTAGTTATCATAAGTTATCATTATTTAGATGAAATTATTAATAACTGAGAAACGAAATAAATAAAACACTTCAAATAAAGAGTGATATTTTTCCATGTTCGACTTCATCTTTTTAACAGCTAGGCGATGGGTTAAGTGATCAGTATAGATAGTGTTGAAGAATAATTGATAAGGTTCATTAATTGCGATTACCCTAGGACTGATATTTTAAAGCTAAATGATAAAGTAACGTGAGTTTGACACTAGACCTAAAAGCTTTTGGTTCGACACCTGATAGGGGGTAGGTTGTGGGTATACATTGATGGGAAATTCTATGAAATTTGATAAAACAGCTATTTAATGTTTTTTTGGTATCTTTCGTCCTATGTAGGACTCATCAGCTGGATGTAACTAAATTTACTGCTAGCCACTTTTCATCTATTTTATAAAAATATCAATTCTCCATATTAATTTAAATCTAATATAGTCGACCAATCAGTCAGTTCAAAGTAATGAAGAACCTGATATATTTGTACATTGGTTCAAATTGCCACAACTAACCGGTACATCGAGAAAACATTGTCAGGGAAAATCCCAAAGTAGTAGTGTTACTAACAGCAATAATGGTTACTTTCACAAAGACAAATGATCTAATGTGTATTTACAAGCTCTATTTTTATCTAGATTTTCCAGAAGGTTATAAACCAACAAACCATTTTTCGAAGAGCTGTTCAACTACATGACAATCATATGGAATAAAAAAGACCTAGATAAGTGAGAGTCAAAAAAGCGAGCAGATTTACCTCCATATGCAGTGGTAGCAGATCGATTAGAATTTGTTCCAGTATTACTACCACTAACACCAGCATTAGAGCTGAAGACAGGTGTAGCTACAATTGGATTAGTCATCATAACTACCATGTTCGATGAAGTAGTTGAAGACTGAAATTCATTTCCAACAGTTATTGAATCACGACGTGACACAGTGACTAGATGATTATCAGAATCTTTTGAAAGTGATTTTGTTAAACTCCATGATGATTGAATATGGTTAGAATTCAACGGAGATGATGTTGAAATTGATGGTCGACCAGAGTTAGATGTCAATGCTGAAGCGGCTGCATTAATCTGAGTGCCAAATCGTCGAACTTCAAGTGATAATACCAAAGTAATCAATTTCGGTCGTGCAAACCCAATAGCCCATAAAGCTTCACGTGCTGTACGTGCTAAATCAACACGATCTGAGATAAGTTGACAGGATTTATTACTTCATAATAAAAATAAAAATAGACCAAATGTAAAACACAATTAACGTTTAATGATAAATTTAGTATAAAAATTATATAAAATTAATACTATGAGAAGTGGTGACCATTGTCAACTAGGATAGAAAGAGAATGTGTTTATAATAGTAACGATTAAAAAAGTTACATTGTGTACATTAGAACAAAATATATATAAGCGAACAATAATGTTTGCAATAAGACCTTCGCCAAGCTTTACTCGAATACACAATCATATATAATGAATGATCAAAGTACTTGGATCGTACACCATCACGTTTACCCTAGTAGGTTTAAAACTCATTTCCGATTTACAGCAGAACAAACAAGCCTAGTCTCTGTAGACAAAACAATTTTGAAAAATCGCTATTTCCTTTTTCTTTAGATAAGACTTAGTTATTTGTTTACTTATTTCGCTTCAAACGCTTATATACCTCATTTTTAGGACGTACACACATAGACTGATTATTCGCACACTTCTTGCAGTGTACCCTGACAATGTTGATGGTGATTATCGCATTAATAAGTTTATTTTCTCAAGTTTTGATCCACTTTCAGAGTTGAAATATTTATCCATGTTATCATATTGTTTATTATTCGTATATTAACTGCTTTCTATACCGACCATCTTACTATCAATTCATACTTTATTACTTACTACAATTAGTTATGTAATTGGTTATCATTGTTACCATTATCATATAAATTATCTGTGAAAGTTTAATATTTTACACATATGCATATAAATATTGCTGTATATTAGGGTAGAGGCTGACGAAGATCTTATTGAAAACAATTTTAGTTGCTTACGTATTTACTATTCGAAAGAACAGTAACTATCGATAAACAATGAATCTACTTGAAATCGACTTATATTAGGGAATATTATCAATGAAATGAATATCTTTAAAACCAATCCGAACAGTGAATGGATGAGTTAATATAAGTGTATTTAATAAACACTCAAAGTGAAGCGTGCTATACTTCGGTAGGTTATTCAACATCGAGGTAATTACAAAACCGTTTAGGATGACAGGTTGTAGAGTAGCATATAAATCGTAAGTATATGCTTATGGAGATTGTTGAGTTTCATTGGAGTTGTAAACTGATCACTGTTAAACCATCATTGAAAAACTAGAAGCACTAAGAACTGGTCCTTTATGGTTCAGAACTTCTTAACAGTGTGCATCCAAAACCCCGTAAATAGAAACTAAAGACAGAGTTTAACCTCTGAACCACTGTAAACTGTTATCCAATGGTGTTGTCTAACTGCAATCAATCCACGATATTAAGCGGCCAAATCAAATAAGTAACTGCCTCATACTCAACAAGAAAGTGTGTAGATCTTTTCTTGAGCTAAAATGCACATTGTGAAATAATGAGCTTGACATCTTAACTGAGTATTTGTGAGTATAAATAACTACATATATCATTAGAAAATACTTCCATGCTACTCACAAAATACCAGTAGGATCCAATTAAATAACACAAAATTCCATGTACCCATAAATTTACGAGACAACAAGTAGGTCAGAACAGCACTTCACAAAGTAGTTACATCATCTCTTGTCAAGTAACAATGTTTATCGTGAAAAAATTTATTATTTCGAGAAATGCATGGAGTAACTTACCTTGATAACAACATTTCAGCATCAGCAGCTAACAAGAGTAAAACATTGATCACATGCCCAACATCAACAAACGGTTCCCAGACAGGAAAACCACGACCTAATAAATCAATTGCAGCTCGTCTCAACGTACTATTCATATTAGATGTTAACAATGTAATCAAGGCATTGGCTGCATATACAGGTAATACTTCGGAGTGACTGCCAACAATTTGCTCATGGAATTTGTTCCAATCAATTTCAGGATTATAAGTGTCAGTAGGCAATAAAACTGGATAGCCTGGAAGGTAGTATTACAAAGAAAAAGAGAAAACAAAATGAATAGAAGAAATGTTAATAACGTGTTCAAAATTTCTAAACTATCTAACAAGGTAAATATACGATAAATCAGTAAATGAATGCGAAACTTGTAGACAGTTTTTGGCCCACCCTAATATCAGCTAGAGAGTCATTGAAAATCAAGTAGAACGGGATAGTTGTTTAATCTAGAAGTATGAAGATTTAATTCTCTGGTTTATCACTCAATAGTCTAAAAGTTAATTGTACTCCGTAAAACTTATAAGCGGTCCTTGGTTTGATTCGGTATGAGGTAGTAGTGAATGTGTACTGCGACTGAGTCCCAAAGTCGGATCAAAAAGAGCATTTCATTTGTTCCTAATCATTATATTCCTATACAATGGCTGTTTGGATCTTCCCATTGATATTTAGAACTCAAATAATCAGTCTCTTCTAAAATATATGCATCCTGTGTGGATTACCTCGATATTGCCGTTAAGTCACAAGCATTTTAGACAGAGTTGAATGCTAGCTAACAGTGGAATCCAAGACTCGTATTTTTTCTTATTTGGAACTCGTGAGCTGGATGTACCTACAACCCAATTCTGATGATTCAAACAACTGAGTGAACATCAACTCTAGTATGCAGGCACATACAGATGACGGGACGAAAAGCACGTCTTGACTTCATCTCTGCCTACACCACTATATTTCTAGTTTCAATGAACATTTACCTGAAGGTAATATTGATTCATTGTGTTGTAACGCGTGACTGCAGGTTTTTGATAAGCAGCGTTCTATCGATCGCTTCTGTGACACGGAAAACACGTAAGGACGACCTAGTGCCCTGATTGGTCCCGCTCCCCTGTCTAGCCCAGCCAGTTGAGTCTAGAATGCAAGTCACAGCCTCTGAGTTATGAATCACTATATTCCAGACATACTCTATTTATATACCAAACAAACAAACCACATCGTACCATAAAATAGAAAACAACATTTACACAATATTTAACGAGTGAAATAAATAATGGCCAATAGGGAATGCCCATTTAGAGTCCAAGGACATCATTAGACTTAACATGATAATGATTGGCATATTCCTCAGCATACCTAACACACTGTAAACGAATGTGAAATGTGTTTATTAATCAGTATAAGTGCATCTGGTGTGTTTACTGAGTATTGGAGCCGTGTATTTACAAAATTGGTTGATTATTGAGTACTAACCAATGTTATGATTGTTTAGTTTAGATTACTGTTGAGATTAAATAGACTAAATTGCAATATAGTTAGTAGACTATGTGCATATAATCGGTAAGAAGGTCTAGGAGTAAGTTTTCTGTTATTTGACACTCTTCAGAGTAAGACGTACCTGCAATCCAGAGGAAATCAACACTCCAGAGAAAGACTAGAATCCATATCATTGGATAATGTCGTAGTTAAAGGCTAGCAAGAAACCTAAGGTTGATAGTTCTTTTCCAATTATTTCAAGTCACTTAATATTAAACCATAGATACTTTTTTTTCCTCTTTCGAATTCTCATTTTGGGTAATTGAACTGTTTATTATTATGCATGATTTCTTCTTTTACACTAATTCGTAAACAACCCACCTACAGGTTAATTGCAAACCTTTCATTCTGAATCACGTAGCAGATTGTGTCCGTATATAAGAAGAGCATATATCAAGAACAGAATCTGACAACCGTCTAAAATAACTAATGTTACAAGTAAGCATAAGCTATTCTGACAGCTTTTAAAGTGGGTTCACAGTGGGAACCTCATTGAAACATTTGATTCTTGGATGAAAACATAGTTTGATCAGCCAGTGTTTAAATAGATAGATATCTTGCGCGCAATAAGTGTTTATTCAGTCGAAGAAGTATCTCAAATAATTAAAATCAAAATTTATTCACAACCGATCAAAATAATCATACAGCACATCACGAAAAGCTAAGCAAAGTTTGAATACATAAGGAAACTTGTTAGAAAGACTACAGGTTATCTATTTTTAAATAAATGTTAGTTTCTTCCGGTTAATGATAAACCAGAGTACAATTCTACTAATTCGCTTTCCTTAAAGAACTTCCCGTTCTGTGACTGATTGCCATCACTTTTAGACTTTTAGTTTTTGCGTACTAAGGTCATATTATGTTCTTATATACACCGAGTTACTCTACCCCAATTTCGTCTTCATTTTATTTCAGGCTCTTTCTGCACTTTCGTCTTTATATTTGTATCCCACTATTTGAGGGTTATTACTGAGGCGTTCCGTGTGTGTCAGTGGTAACACTATCGAGTTTGCATCAGTTCCTGACCGTATTAAAAGAATCTCAGTCATTCACCATTAGTAAATATAATTCATAATTATCAAACTTGTTTGGTTCCGAAATTATCAGTATGTAATCGTTTTCTCTTATTACGTCCTAGCTACTCTTATTTCGTAGTACCCTCGAACACCATTTCACGAAACGAATCCCCAAATCAGAACACGGTTGGACAGGAACGTAATTATGTTTCGAATAACAAGGTTGGTTGGAGGTAGGAATCACAACAAGAAAAACATTAATATATTGCCGATTTTAACATGTGAAATTTTAGAATTTTCTCTAAGTCTACGCTAGCGTTGATTGGTTAAGAAATAACCGATCAGTGTGCCTCAACACAATCCTTCACAGACCATGTTTTAATCCGATTTATATCCAGCTAACACAGAAATCCCAACACTGTAAATATCAAGTATATCTGAGCGGAGAATTACACTGAAAAACTTGTATGTGATCCAATCCAAGACACCAAAATCACTGTAAAGTTTCTAATTCAAAGTTAGAATAAAAAATATACACCATGTGAAAGGTCATACCAATCACTGATACTTAAATGTTACATTCTGCATGGAATCTGTTTCCTTTTAGATAAAAATTGGGTAAAGTATAATCTGGAGTGTCAACAAAACACGAATTCAAGTTGTCAGAACACATCAACACAGCGAGAGAAAACTGTGTGCGACGACGTGGGCAGTGGTTAAGTACCAAACTGTGCGAATACTAAAGTAAGAAGTCCAATTTATAAAATTTTATTTTAAATAGAAAACAAAAAAAGTTTATACACATACCTCCATTAAACAATAAAGCTGATAAACACTGATAAGTGGATCTAGCAAGATAATGATTATCCAATCCGAAACCATCTTGTATCTCAGATGATTGATTACTTGTGTATTGTGAGAATTTTTGCACAGATAATGGAACTCCCTCTGATCGATTTAACGGAACTTGCATTACCACTATTTTTGTCATTTCTGACTTTTCTTTATCATCGTCATCATCATTATCAGGTGCAACGAAACATGGCGATGCCAAACCGCAATTACAATAATTCATTACCTCGTATGTTCGATTCTTAGTCATAACTAATGGTTGAGTGATCAAGTCACGTACAACAACAGCTGGATGACGTCGTTTAGTGGATGAACCAAAACGTACACCAATTATACCCATTAGTATAATAGCGATAGCCTTGTGAATTACATTGAAGACAAACAAACAATAATGTTTATGATTAGTTTAACCCATTGTTATATGTTAACAATTAAAAGTTTAGAAGAAAAAATACATTAAATAATTGAGATAAACATTATTACTAAGGTATAACCATAGAACATAAAGTCATTTGTAAAACATACTGGTTTAAATTACCTATAGATATGTAGATCAGTTACTACACAAGCAAACTAATTACTAAAATTTGTGTGAACTCAACGACGAATTTGTAGCCCTTGTTCAAGAGGATGGACACCATTGTAAATCATAGACAAAAGGAACAATGAACGAAATTTTACGGGGATATCAAGCTTTTGAAATATTAATTAAGAATACATGAACCGGTGAGTGTGTATTTGATCAAAATAGAATTTAATGAACTATTGTACCTAGTAAAGAGATAACAGTTGCATTAATTCATAAACAACCCTGGTTTTTCAGCTATATGGTAAATAATTAGAATGTCAAAGACAAAAGTTCGATTCCGAATCTAATAATCACAGATATGCACTGTGAAGTAACTATGAAAATTAAACAGAAACAGGTTTTCAATTGTTGAAAACGATTCGACCGGTTAACAATTCTGTGACAAAAAACATCGGGAAATTCTACTGATCTCTTTATAATTAACCACCATATAAACGAGGCAAGTACTTGATGACAGCTCGACAATAACTCGTAGAAATAAAGAACAATTTTTCACTTAGTGAACACTTTTTTTATCTTGGATGATATTTGTTTTACTAAATAACATAAACCACAAAATCCGATTAAAATACAATATATGCAGATGTTGTTGAGGACACAGTGATATACAATGATGCTATTTTCTAAGATTTGTGCAGTCGAGATTTACAGATTCATTCCATAAAGAAATTATCTATTTAGATGAAAACAACAAATGTCTCAATAGTTTTACCAATCAGCTGTGCCATTGAAATAGTTGAAAACAGATTATTAAAAACAGAAATGCAGATGATAGCCGAACATAACTGATGCATTGTATAACTTACTAAGACTAGGTGTTGGAGAGTGAGTATAACAGCTAATAACGTATTACGTAATCAACTGAACCACACTTCAAGTACAATTAACTAAAAACCAATTTAAAATCTTATAAAACAACTCCAACAGTAACATATTCTATAACTAAATATAACAACCAAATTACCGTAACAATAATAAAATATAATAAAACCATAAAATTCAATATGAAAGCCGAAACAAAACAGTAGATGGATACACACTACTGAAACAGATTTTAAGTAGTATCACTTGAATATTTTTCAATAAAGCATAGAGTCGATCCATCATAAGGAATGGATCTCTACAGAAACAGTGGACAAGATCAAAGAAAGGAAGAACAAGAAGGCAGCAATAAACAACAGCCGAACACGAACAGAGAAAGTCCAAGCACAAGCTCAATACATAGAAGCAAACAAACAAGTGAAGAAAAGAATTAGAGCCGACAAGAAGAAATACGTGGAAGAACTAGCAACGACGGCAGAAAAAGCTGCAAGGGAAGGAAGTGTGAAACAACTTTACGATACAACGAAGAAACTAGCAGGGAAATACAGTAAGCCAGAGAGGCCAGTCAAAAACAAAGAAGGCAGGCCGATCGCTGAAATTCAACAACAGCAGAACAGATGGGTGGAACACTTCGAGAAACTGCTGAATAGGCCGGCTCCAATGAATCCACCGGAAATGGAAGCAGCACACACAGATCTTTCTATAGATGTCAATCCACCAACGACGGAAGAAATCAGAATGGCCGTCAGACAAATCAAGAACGGGAAAGCAGCAGGACCCGACAACATACCAGCTGAAGCACTGAAATCAGACATCGAAGTAACCACAAGCATGCTTTACCCTCTAGATTAAAAGATTCGGGAGGAGGAACAAGTGCCAATGGACTGGAAAGAAGGACACCTCGTCAAGATTCCAAAGAAAGATCTGAGCAAATGCGAAAACTACAGAGGCATTACACTACTGTCAATACCAGGGAAAGTCTTAAACAGTGTTGCTCAACCGGATGAAAGATGCAGTAGACGCCCAACTTCGAGATCAACAAGCTGGATACCGTAAGGATCGATCGTGCACAGACCAAATTGCAACACTACGGATCATCGTCGAACAATCAGTTGAGTGGAACTCGTCACTGCACATCGACTTCATTGATTTTGAAAAGGCATTTGACAGTGTGGATAGGAGGACGTTATGGAAACTTCTTCGACACTACGGAGTTCCTGAGAAGATTGTCAACATTATCCGGAACTCATATGATCGAATACAGTGCAAGTCCGTGCATGGAGGACAGCTGACAGATGTATTGCAAGTAAGGACCGGAGTCAGACAAGGCTGTTTACTCTCTCCCTTCCTCTTTCTTCTAGTGGTCGACTGGATTATGAGGACCTCGACATCCGAAGGAAAACACGGAATACAATGAACAGCTCAAAATCAATTAGACGATTTGGACTTCGCAGATGACCTAGCCCTCCTATCGCATACACAAGAACAGATGCAGACAAAGACAGCCAGTGTAGCAGCAGTCTCTGCATCAGTAGGCCTCAGCATACACAAAGTGAAAACCAAGGTCCTCAAATTCGAAGCGGAGTACAGCAATCCAATCACTCTTGATGGCGAAACTCTGGAAGATGTAGAATCCTTCACATAACTGGGAAGCATCATCGATGAACAAAGAGGTTCAGATGCAGACGTAAAGGCAAGGATTGGCAAAGCAAGGGCCTCATTCCTACAGTCGAAGAACATATGGAACTGAAAACCACTTTCAACCAATATCAAAGTGAGAATCTTCAATACGAATGTCAAGGCAGTTCTACTGTACGGAGCTGAAACTTGGAGAACTACAACAACCATCATCAAGAAGGTGCAAGTATTTATAAATAGCTATCTACGCAAGATACTCAGCATCCATTGGCCGAATACCATCAGCAACAGCCTTTTGTGGGAGAGAACAAATCAGCTTCGAGCTGAAGAGGAAATTAGGAAGAGACGATGGAAATGGATAGGACATACACTACGCAAATCGTCAAACTGCATCACGAGGCAAGCTCTAACTCGGAATCGTGAATGGAAGCGGAAAAGAGGAAGGCCAAAGAACACATTGCGTTGGATAATTGAAGCAGATATGAAAAGATGAATTACAACTGGAAGGAGCTAGAAAGGATTGCCCAGGACAGGGTTGGATGGCGAATGCTGCTGAGCGGCCTATGCTCCTTCACGAAGAGTAACAGGCGTAAGTAAGTACGTAAGTATAGAGTCGATCAATTAGAACGTTGTAAAGCCAATTAGGATATTTAAACAAATTCAACTTTGAGACTATTTACCAAACTATTAAAAAAAGGTGCACAATCGTATTTACATATGTACTCATTACTAGGATGACAAGTTAAATGTGCTAAATATGTAAATTTAATTGGAATGAATTTTGTAGATTGTAGTGTTATTATCAACTAAAACTACTATTTCTATCACTTGAAACCAATAAATCAATTAGAGAATATCAAAAAAGTAGGACAGACTGACTAAAGTTCATCGTCACAACTAACTACATAGCGCACGCACGAGCTAGAGAGAGAGAGAGATATATTATGGTGTGGTTTTTGAGGTAGGTTGGTTAATAAGTAGGTGTAAATAAACAAGAACACATAATTCGATTAAACCTGATGAGCTCTACAAATAGTTGTTATAGAATGACTTAATAAATACATGAAATTTGTGAATACTATTTCAAAATGTTGTTATACAATGATTTATGAGAATAAAAACCGATAAACACAAATAAATGAAAAGCGTAAACAAAAACTGACAATGAGAATGACTGTATAAACTTCATAGTATAATTGAATTGTGGCTAGCAATGCAATTTAGGACGCCCATTTCAGCTTATTTGGGACTTTTTAGTTAGTTGTTGATGTTCAATAGTTCAGCTCAAACCCAGTATCTACTCCCAAGTTCAGAAGGTCATTTGTTCATTCAATAGGTATAATTCTTATTCGGAGTTTTGTGTTGTTCTGTTATTAAATATATTAGGATATTATGAGTATGGGGATTTGTGGAAACTGTAGTATTTTCACGGTTGGATTCACGAGCCGATATATGCTAGAACACCATTGAAAACCTGGAAGCACTGAACAGCCATTTCGTCCAAGTATGGAACTTCTCACCAGTGCGCATCCACGATCCCACATGCGGAACTCGAGCCCAGGATGCAGATGCGCATTGTTTAAGAATCCCATAGTATGACGAGATGGCCATTCAGTGCTTCCACGTTTTTAATGGTAGTCTAGCTTACATCGATTCGTGAATTCAACAGTGAAAATATCAGGATATATCGAAAGGTATATATTCAGTATGTATATATACCAGTTTTGTAAACACATATCTAGTTTTAAATTCTGAATACCATCCTTAGATTCCAAATGAGATGTAACCATACATCATAAGATTGGTTGGAATTAATCGTGTCAATATTATCACACAAAAATTGTGATGTTACATGGTTTATATATATATATATATATATATATATATATATATATATATATATTCGTGCATTTGATTTAGGCTTAGCCTAATAAACTTCCTTTTCTACTCATTGTCTTCTCACTCAGTATCAAGTGGGAGATCGTGCATAGGAAATTTAAGGATAAGTATCAGTTTCGAACAACGCACGTCATAACAAGAGTTGTAAGTGAAATGAATGTTTTAATGTGTTTTGAAATGAGGTATTCGTAATGTAGAATCAAAGGAAACTGTGACGATAGTAAGCGAAATAAACATATAGGTAAGGTTGAATAAAGAGAAATGCCAACGTGAACTGATGAACATGTCAAATATTTAGTCAGAGAGACTACGTAATCTACAACTAGGGTGATGAAGTAGTAGAGAAAGTTAGAATGAAGTGAGTTTGATATAGAATACCCCAAATGAATGTAAATAATGACCAATATAATGCGAAGTAATGGACATCTATTTCATCGTAGAGTGAGACTCACTAGGACTGTGTACTCACAACCTTCAGACTTCGTAATGAGCAAGTTAACCTGTAACCTGTTTGAGTTAGTATAAAGTGGTTCAAGTTGAGATTCGCACTACTATCCTCCATGCCATACGTATATTGGAAGATAACCTAGGTGTAACCAGACTACGGTGTTAATCTAGAATTAAACAATCTCTAAAGGAAACCAGTGAACAGAGCAATCTGTGAAAAATCAATTGCCAATCATAAAGGAATAATAAGTAGTATGATAATAGTTAGTGTGTTGAGCGGAAGCTTACGAAAAACAAAATATGTGAAAACACAGTAATCCAGTTATATAGTGATTATGTAGCAAAAATATGAATAGTAGCAATTTGAAAAACGGTTCTGAAAGGTCCAACCTTTTCTAGTATTCGTCCTCTTTTAACAGGATCACCTTAAAGCAAAGATGGTTATGTGCTTGAAACTCATTTAAACAAGAAAACAGATTGGATCTACTTCTTAGCGTGAAAAGCCCTTGCTCTCTGTATATTTCTACAGAAATTACATCGACTGATTTCAAGATTCTGGAACGTGGTCACTAATGCTGGAAGCTTACTACTCTTAACACATTAGATTATGACGAATGATTGATTAGGGTTCGTGAATCAAGTAGAACTGTTAAGCCTGAATCGTTTATGGAGGTAACAACATGTATGCTTAGACTATCTCCAATATGTCCATAGTGCGAAAAAGTAAATTTCTAAAACATTGATCGATGTGATCGACTGTACAGAATCAGTTGAAATGGACAAAGTTTCGACTGTTTTGTTTAACGCTTGAATCAAAACAATTCACTGACTTTACAACTGTCTGTTCATTTTTTACAGTTAGCATCATGATCTGATCTTAGATATTGGACATTCTTTGGAAATCAGGATTATCGAAAAGTTTCATCCTAGTATGCAATGCTTTAGTAGTGTGTATACGCGATCCAACAGGAGATTACAACTAAAACCTTCAAATCTCACCCAGTGCTAAACGATTTAAACCACTGAGTTGGACATGAAAAATGAAGGCCCTGGGATCGATCCCCGATGAGGTTGTGGATGTACACTACAATCGACAAAAACATTCCATATATCCGATTCTTCCTTTTACCTTTAATTTAAATCTATAACTGTGTCGAATCCGATAGAAATTCACAAACGAACAAATAAGAGGGATATTCTTCGTTTTTTTTTCATTTGTGATTGTTCAAAAGCCAAATGTGTATAAGATTTAATGATTTTATAGTGCAAAAATAAAATTAATTAAGGGGAGAATAGAAGCTATCAGCTAGCTGATTAGAGCTGAATACACATAAGTGCACAGAGATGAACATGAAGGCACACACACATATACAAGTACAAATAGATTGCAAGGGCAGATAAAGGGAAAAAAGGGAGCAATACATATGAAGTACACGCGCACGCACACACACCCAAAAGCAGCATACCTGACACCTCTGTATATCTCTCTGTAAAAGATAGGCCTAATAAAATTAAATTTATGAAAATAGAAAATACTTACATGCATAACCTATAGAAAACTTACACAATAGGTGGTAAAAAAAGAGGGTGAAATAACACATCACATAATGTGTATTGCTGAGACACCCAGATGACGTTATGTGATGAGGAAGTTAGAGATAATAGACAGAGAGTTAGGAATTTGAACTCCAATTATGAGTGGATTGACCATAATGAGTAAGGTATATAACAAGGGAACTGTTATCCGTTTACAGATTTCTAATCGTCTGGATGATACAATGTCTGTAATATGAATCGTAACTCCATGAAAAAAAGTCACTCATTAATTGGACGAATGATATATACGCTTAATGCCTTCTAAGGAAGACATAAAGTTGAATAAATACATGAAACATCCAATTTTACAAATGAGCCATATGAGTACACACTAATTATAAGTCAGATAAAATCCACATTCCTACAATGTCACCTTATTAATTTAAGATGATTTGTAACTGCGTGCACTTGTCCATTAGTGTGGTGTAATTTAGCGATTAGTTTATGCACATTACATTGCGTAATATTGAAGCAAAGTCTGAGAAAGTTATATTGAAAAAAATGAGTATAATTTAGTTTTTCAATCTACTTACAAACGATAAATGGACCTTGATTCTACACATTGTGTTGTCGTGAAGCCATGTTAGTGTAAAGATTCTATTTCACTTAAAATAATTTCAAATTATTCTGCCTTTTGTCTCTTGTATGAATACTTGTAAATGATTTGACTGACGTGAATTAGAATCCAATGATAAGTTGCCACACATTTGATCTACAGGTTGTAAATTAACCATTTCTGAGAAAGATTCTAAATTGAAGGTTATATTCATCATAAGTTGATCTCAATTGAAGTACCATTGAAAATCAGGGAGTAGTGGATAGTTGATTTTATCCTAGTATGAGAGTGACTTCTCAGTAATGTGATCCCTAATTTTTAATTACAGTACATTAACTGATATTAATCATCTGTAACAAATGCAATTTACAAATGGAAAAAAACAGTCTCTACAAAACTCAGTTCAACGAGAAAAAAAGACTCAAAATTATTCAAAACAATCAACATTCTGCCACGCAGATGAATGCTACTAGCTTATTTTAGGAAAAACAGAAGTATATCTTACCTGAAGACGTGCATGTTCTCTAGGTGATATGCGATAACCGTTTAATGTCATCCACCATGAACTATCCAATACCATAGACATATTAAGATTTGATGTTAGACTAGACAAACTGACAGATTCAGTTAGATTTGGTAATGAATCTGTTGAGAATTGTTGTTTAGTTGGTGTACCTTGTTGTTTATCTGATGTTAATTGTTGACTGACTTCATCATCAACAATATCATTTGTAGTAGTAGAAATCATAGTAGTACTATTCAACTGTACAAATGCATCTTTATTAGATAAATTCTTTAACTCATTGGATATGTTATTTTTGTCTAAACCATTCATTGATGGCAAACTTTGCTTACGTACAATTTTTCCTTCTGTATGATTATTATTAGCTAAAATATCTATAAGCTGATAACTAACACGATTCGCGGAATCCAGTGAATTTTGTTGATGAATTATTTGACGTTGCGATTGTTGTCTTTGATTAGTAAGAGCGAACGGTGGAAGCAAAGCCGACCAATAAGTGACTAACAATTTTCGATCATCCAATGACAATTGATCTAAGCATGAAAGTAATAATGTTCGAGCAGCATAACGAATCTGTAGAGCACAAAAGGAAGACGACAAATAACAACAAATATGAAAATGAATCGGATTTTCCGACTAAAAAACCCACAAAATAAATGTTTAGTAAAATGAAAGGATGAAGACCATCTTCTAAACTAGAATGTTAGATACTAAGCATCTGCACCTACGGAAGTAGGAAAACCTTGATTCCTAACTAATGATATGTATAGGTCTCCAGATCTCTAAGGAAAAGAAATGGCTTATGAATCAATTTTGATTATCAGCCTACCATAGGATGATATCTCCTGAAATTTCTTTACTGTCTTGTGGATTATACGTTTAGATTAAAGGCCCCGAGAGTGGCCCTCTAAGAAAACCACTTGCTTCGGATTGAATTCGCGGCTCTACCGGATAGAACATTTACTGAACCATTGCTCCATCCTAATGAATATATGTATATACAAGATACCACCGGACTTTGCACTCAGAGCCCTAGGGTTTCGCAAATACCGTCATACATTTGAATTATCCAATTGGAATTCAATGGTTTACATTTTTAGTCCCAGTCAAAATGAAGTTATCAAATAATTCAATCAGTAACTGAATACTGACTGAGTGATATCGTTTAAGTGCAATAAAACCTGAAGGCGTTTAGTTCTATCTTTTAAAACGTTATGAGTAAGGGCTGTTTATAAGTCCCGAACTACGACGAAACAGTTATCTAATGTCTCCCGTTTTCAATTATTCATCCAAATATGCTAAAATGTGCAGATGTGCATTTATAAAGTTTACAGTGGATATTTAACTACGGAAATTGTATGATCGGTATACAAAATAAACATGAAATACATGTAACTATCATTTTATTGCTCATATTCCAGACTGTATACTATTTTCTGTCTTTTTAAAGTGTTACGGCAGAATACGGTATACAACTAACGTCACTCAAAAGTGTAGAAACTCGACAGCCACATCGCAAAAGACGCAGGAGAAGCGATTATTGGGTAAGAGTCAGAAATGTACACAAAAATATGGGTATTTATAGTAATTAGTATTGACTATAACATCATAAGAATCCAGCAAGTCTACAAAAAGGCAAGTTATGCAATTGTCCGATCATAGCACATCACGCTGATATTCTAGAAGGCCCTATCGGATTCTAATTGGATAGGTTCTCTTCGGTTCCTTTAGAGCCTATGGAGGGGCTTTGTCGTGCATTTCAGAGCCGTCCCAACGAAAAATATTTGCTGTAAATTAGGATTTTCGAGTTTCAAGGACGAATTTCCGAGTGGTAAAAAAGGAAGAAATAATGTTGATATCCAACGATGCGGTGTGGTCGAGTGATGGTTACTCACAACTTAGAATTATTGAATCAGACCCTTTAGAAAAAAATTAATATACGACAAACGCTTACCCCAGTAGAATGGGTTCTTTCTTCTAATCGAATTACACGCTGATCTATAGAAACACTGAAGACATGATTGGAAGTCACTCAGAAAATAAACGGTTGTCTGTATGACGTTGTAGACATAGTTGAATTTTAACGAGATCACCAGTCGAGGAGTCTCAATATTAAGACGAAATGGTCAACTAGTGCTTCCAGGTTTTTGATAGTTATCCAACCTAAACTATTTTGTGATCTCAATAAAATTCGACCATCTCCAAAACCTTAATACTGAGAATTACGGTGCGCTCACTAGTGACTAGCTTAGAGAGGAAATTCTTAGGGTTCTAGTGAGAAGTCATGACCAGTGGAGTTCAACCGTATCAGATGGGATGAAGTTGCCCACCGAAAACAATGGAAGACAGTCGTGCACTAATGTGAAATGATCGAAGTAAGACTTGTACATCATTTGATCCTGATTTAGTAGTCCTGAGATAAAACATAAACACCCAAGACCAAAGGTTCCGGGTCCGATTCCCAGCCATGAGGTCATGTATACGCACTACTAAACAGTCTCATACCAAGATCAAATGGATATCCAATACTTCCAGGTTTCCAATCATTGTCTAACTTATATCAGTTCTTAATCTCAATAAAATAAACGACTGAACAAGAATATAGCCATTATAGATCATTAACTATCTTCAATATAATTAATCCTTGACTAAGTATCAGGCTTAATTATTGCTTAATCATCATCGCAATTAAAAAATTATAAAAACAATCACACTTACTGGTAAACAACGATCTTGCCATTTACGTGCAAATAAATTCAATTCAATTGGTGACGGGATAGGTTGTAATTTTCTATTATTAATTGAACTATTATTTTTAGACAAAATCAAACCAATAAATTGTTCCGATAGAAATGCACCAAACTGTAACCAAATTGCGCGCCAATTACTCAAAATTGATATATTTACATTACCATCAGATAAACATTTTGATGATGACGATGATAATGATAGTTCTGTCCCATTATCACCATAGATTGCATGTGATAAACGTAGAAGATAATTCCAATCTAACGATGTCATTAATTCAGTTAAACTAACTCCTGATAGAATTAAATTTGTTGAAATAATTGAAGAAAGACAATATGGATGTGGTATTTGTTGAATAGATCCAGATTTTGATACAGTAGTTGATTTTGTACAATAACCTACAACACGAAATTGTATAGGAGAATTCATTGGAATTGATTATGGGATTTTATTTAAGAAAACAATTATTAAACACTTTTTTACTTCTGTTTGAATAATGCGCATTACTGTTTAATAAAACCATTAAAGAGGTTTAAAAATGTCTAGAATAATCCTTTTATATCAATCTAGGTGGTTTGCAACATATCAGTCATAATCAACGTAGAGGATGACATAAATGTACATTGATTCAAGTTTCCACAATGCATCACCACAGTGAGATAAGATTATCAAGGTCTACGTCAGAGTAGTAGTAATGTGATGTATTCTACTTATGCTGACATATAACTAGTACGTAGCAGCAATCGGAAGAGGAAGGCTTGTCAACAGAAGATTGAATTGAAGAGAACAGGGAGGGAAGCAGAGATCAATTGTAATAACAAGAGAATCGGAAGAATCACGACGTGTTTAAAGGACAACTGGTGGAAGATATGCAAATAATGTATTTAATGTATGATTTTCATGTTTTACGAAAGCACTCTGTAATTTCGCATTAAACAATAAATTGATGTTCTCCACTTGAGTTCTCGTTCACTACAGTAGTAATACCAGTGAAAGTAGAAGGATTAGACATAAGGAATATGATTTGAGAAAAAGAAATGGATTCACGAAATAAAAATCAGGATCCTAAGGAAGACAAAAAGTGGGTGAATCTGCGCCATAGTGGTTAATTATTTGTGGATGCGATATTTTGAGGAAACACTGACTTCGTTATGGTTAAAGACACAAATTGAAATCACGTACAATATTGCCAGCTGGACAAGTGAACTATTACACGAATTTACACACTAGTCAGTAAATGACAAACAAGATCTCACTGTTTATTAGTCCTCAAACTCCTTCAAACCCAGTAGCCAACCAAGTGATAAGAAGCAGATTAGTTCTCAACTGTACTCAATCCAGTCGTTACGCAAAACCCATACGATTATACGCTTGAAATAACCGACAGCACAATACACTAAATAAGAAATCAGTCTAAGCACAATCATACTACGGTGGTCTGAGCTACTAATACGGACAGACATACGGAGTATAAAACAGGAATTAGAATGCTTACCAGCAAAAGATTGGAATAACGAGAAGAGGAAGGAAAATAGAGATTAATCAGAACAACAACAGGACTAGAGAGTGTTGGAGCATTTAAAGGACAACTCAAAGATGTCCAAATGAAGCATTTAATGATTTCCGTATTTTATGGAAACACTGTATAGTTTTGCATATAACAGTAAATTACTTTACTGTACCTGAGTTATTGTTTACAACACCGTAAGCGGTAAAGGGTGCAGCAAACAGTATATAGTCAATTGACAGTAATTAAAGAATAGTACAACGTACAACAGCAGTTAGTCAGTCCACCAGAAATTTAAATAAGTGGGATATAGAAATGTAACAACATTCTTATCTGTTAATTATGTGAAGCCCCCGCCTACCCCAATAGGACTCAGGAATTTACATCGACTGATCACTAAGTAGTTAATAATGTTGATTTTATCTAATCCATTGTTGCTGACTGAATTTTATCATTCAAATCGCAATGTGCCAACCAATAATCCAAGTAACTTAACATTGCATGTACTATGGTTTAATGTTGGGTGGTTCAAGGAAACTTAACACCAAGGACGCTTGTCAGCTAATACTCATTAGCAAAGTACAACTCCAATCATATCAAATAATGTAATTCAGAATAAATGATTGTTATACGTCATCTAAGAACGAATCAGTAAACAAAACAATTTGATTTTTATTATTTTGTTTTCTGTCGTGTCACTTAGACACCCATCATACCGGTTAATGATGACGACCATCATCAGCAGCAGCAAGCATGTAACAAGCAATAACCAACTTACCAGGCATACTTAAACTCATACAACCACATTTGGATATTAGACCAATGCATATTGGTGATTCATGTGTACGTAATTGTTGTAGACTATTATTCAACATGGTTTTCAATTTATTCTTATCTATGGATTGATGGTTATGACATAATTTTTCAATAATTTCATCCACTGACAAATCTATACCCCATGGATGAATTAACGAAATGATAATTTGTAGAAAAGTTGCCTGTGTAACATCCATTGTAAATATATCATCACGATAGAGTAATGTTGACGAAGTTGGTGTTGTTTCTGTTGTTATCGCTGAACTATTATAGTTAATCTGTAATCGTTTTTGAGAAAAATCAACAGAATAAAAATGATACACGGTCAATATTAAAGTACTTCGCTAAAATATTGTACATCGAGGAAAATATATCGAATAATAAATAATAGTGGGTAGATAGTAGATCAGTACAGTCCAATGTTTAATGGGTTTCCCATTCAGTTATCAAGTGGTAGGTTCGAACCCTGATCCACTAACTTAGGTTTAGGCAATTTGGATAGTGAGATTACTAGCTGCAGTCTCGCAAAAAATTTGTACCTGATAAATGAGTTAGTAATAAACATTAAAATAGTAATAGCTGAAGCAATTAAGTTCCTACTAATAGGTTGCAGATACCAACCTTTGTACTATACGTTGACTTGGGTAACTAATCATGTGTCGCGAACCCCCCCCCACATACACACACAGATGGTATGGCCGGTAATATAATAAACACATATTTGGTCTATAGGTTACATTTAGGTTTCAGATTGTAAAAAACTAAGAGATTCAGATTCGAATCTAACAACTGACACAACATTTCTATAATATTTCTCGATACGATTGAAGATGGAGAGGAGACAAGAGATTAGGAAAAGCCTTATATTAAAGAAGGCACGTTTGTAATGGATCAACTCTATTTATGTAGCAATAAATATTGATCTTGGGACGTATAATTACGGCCCAGTTGGCTTCAACAGAAAAACATTCATCAACAGACCTGAAGTTCATGGTTTCAATCCCTTTTGGAGTTTTGCCGGTACCTACTGCTATAAATTTCAATACTAAGACACAATACATGTCCAGTGATCCCTAGGTTTCAATGATATTCCACATGGGATCAGTCTGCGACAAATATAACCTACAAATCAAACCAATCTCTGCAAAACCCCTTCAAATCAGTAAAAACGTTTTTATACATAGGCATCTATGTGAAGACATTAGTTAGTTAATTAGTTCAGAGAATACTTTTTACTTATGAACTAAAGTCATAACGACAGAATGACTGAAATCAAGAGGCACTGATGGACAATTATTTCTTTCTATTTTCCAAAACATAAACAGTGTCCCCATCCAACACTAAAGCAATGAAATTAATACAGGGATTCCCTAAACTTCTACTCAGAAGCTATAATTTGTAAAGTCAATCAATTAAAAACATACTTCTCAAAGATGTTAGTTACGAACAAGTAAACTCAATAAATAACCGACCACATTGAAATCAAACACCAATTTATATCGAAATTTCATGACCTATCCTGATACAACTGCCAAATCGTGAGAGTTGTGACTTCCTTAGTCTATATGATAAATACACAAGTCCAGATCATAAAATCTTTATTCGACAAATCTTTTAATGATTTTACAACCAAACTTGGCTAATTAGTTATAAAAAGGCAGAGTGCTCACGAGGGAACAGTATTAGGACGATGTAAAGATGGTGAAGCAGTTGGAACACTTGACTTCGGGAGACCTCTACAGGTGTTTTAAATGATGACAATCGAGATGTGGCAGGTTCCAAGTCACAAATAAAGAGAATTTTAATGCGAATAGAATCGGCGTACACTAAATTTGGAAATTTACGGTTTTTATGACTTCTGCTCATATATTTCCTGAAAACACTACTGTTATATCTAGAGCTTAGATTCTTGATATACTGCGTACAACTTGAGCACTCAAACGCTCCAATTCGAAAATGAGAAGACAGAAGATGAGTGAAAAGGAACGCTATTCCAAACGGTGTCAAATACGATACAAAACTCCCAGGTATTTATAGTTTTTAGTAAAAGTTAAATCATCTTGATAGTCATCCAATCCGCATACAGGGGATATTCTTCCGAAAGATGATTGGATCGAATATTTTCGGCTCTTTCTGAGCTCCTTAGAGCTTCCTCCAGTTCACCCGTGGGCCGTCCTCACAACTATATAAACTACATTTATAGTAAAAAAAAATGTTTAGCCAACTAGTACAAAGATTTATTTAAAATCAGTGAAGAAGCATCTATAATGGTTCATGCAAACCACTAAATGCCAACTCATTGATCTAAACTTTAATCGCTCGTTACGAGAAATGAAGGTAGTAGGTTCAAATCTCGATGGGGTCGTCGATGTGCATCGCTTAAGAGTCCTCCATTCTAGTACAAAACGGTAGGTAGGTCTATGGCTTAAACTAAAAAATAAGTCAATTAATTCAACGATACATATTATGCATAGACCCAAATTTATTCATCATCATTATCATCATACCATTTCATTAATATCATTTGAAACTCCATAATTTTGTGATAAAATATCAACTGAAAGAGAAAAAAATAAAACAGAAATATAGAAAACAAAAGGTTAAGGATGAAGCAAACGGTAGAAAAGAAAAAAAGGACAAATATTTTGTGTTATTAAGTTTTCTGAGTTAGATTATCTAAGTGAAAAGTATTAACTAACATTCGAGGGTAACCATCAATATTTCTTAGATCGCTTGTATACACCAAGAAGTGAATGATAATATTGTCTAAAGCAATAAAATAAGCTTTGTAAATTATAAAACCACCTAACTATTTCAGACAACTAAATTGATAACACCAAAAGGCATCCACTCCTGCTGAGCCTTAAAGCTACTTCGTTATAAACAAACATAATTGGTTGACTTAAGAACAACTTTTGCGGATAATCCATGTTTTCTGTGAATACACAAAAACCGTTTGTTTGTTTTTCATTTTTCTAACTATGAAGACAGGTTACTAAAGCGAAAAAATCTGGTCATGAATTATCAGATGATTGATTTTCTGTTAAGAGTCTGGTAATTAAGATTAACTAACATTTATATAAAAACATTAATGAATTAATTTATTTACCCTAATAGGTTATAATAGATTTGAACTTTGAATAAACATTTTCAATCCCGATATGACTACAATATGAGAATGAATGTCACGCTGGTCTAGTTCCTGGTGTATATTCACTAGTCAAAATAACTTGATATCGAGTACACTTAGCTATGATGTAGATCGATGATTGAAGGTGAAGCGTTAAATTAGTCAACACATATTTGCGACTAACATAGATTAGAATATTCAGAGGGGAATCTGTTCCTTCAGAACTGTGGATGGCCTTCGTTGATGAACACCGATTAGCATGAAATTTAGGGCTCTATGATGATTACCTTCAACGACCTAGTATATATTATGTACAAAGAGAAGTATTTACGTTTCAAATTTACTTTTGCATTTCGAATCAATATGAAAATCGGTGAAACAGTACAAATAAAAAGCACTCCTCAGCTAACTGTCATCCCTGGCAAGCTCTACGAAATTCTTATGAATTCCTCTCGCTTACGGTCTTTGTCAATTTGATCAGAATGATAAACAATTTCTTACTGAATCTAACATTTATTCAAATAATTCCCGGAAATCTAAGGTCATTTATAGTTACAAACTTGAAGCAAAGTTTACAAATCAAAGGGTTAGAGGAACATGGAAACAGGAAATGCCAATCAAATTATTTGTGCAATTATCATTCAATGGACCCTAGCAATAATAATAATAAAACTAGACTCATAGGAAGCAATTCTTGTGAACAGTTACATAAATATGAGCAATGTGTGTATTTACTCAGGCGAAAACTTTCACAGCACTTGTCAGACAAACTGCATATATTCGCAATAAAAAAAATATAGATCCCTAAAACAAAAATGCATTAAATTCTAAATCAGTCTATTCAATGATAATTTTGGTTTACTTATTTAGTTAATATATCACCCTCAAAACAGATATGACTTTCTTCATCATTTAACCATTTGAACGAATTTTAAATAAGAGACAACTTTCATCCTGTTAGGTAGTTGATACCCATCTAGCCCCACCTCATTGGCCACAATATTTCCAATCTTAGCCACTAGTTCAGACAAAGGTATAAAAGCGCATTTATCTAAAAGGCAGTTTAATGTTAAATTTAATACAAGTACCTTAAAGGTGCAATTGGTTAGCCCTCTACTCTAATACAACCACGTGTTTATACCCGGTTCCAAGGGAGTGTATTTATTCCTTTTATGCTGTGAGGATGGTTCTACGAACTTAAAAGCTTAAGTCGGGTTATAGGATATGACGAGTCAACACCCATGAGAACCGGAAAACAGTGATTTCAGATTAATGGTGCAAAGGAACCTGAATATTCCGAGTGAATAAACGCCACATAAATATATTTGGTCACTGAATACCATGGGGCTGCATCTCCTGACGTCGCTATATTGCCTTGTAGATTAGATCATCAGGTTAAATGCTCGGGAAGTGGTCCCCTAAGAAAACCATCCATTTGGGTTTGAGTAATCGGGTTGTATTTCAACTCACACACAAAAATATGATTAACAATGAACTCTTTTCAACTGACTAATTCAACCTTTACAAAGTTCATGTGATAATCAACTTAAATGGAGCGGTTTAAATACTCGTCTTTCACATAGTGAGTCACGAATTCAAGCCATACTCTACTTATTCCGGTCCAAGCAACCTGCGTTCAGTACACAAATCTACACCTAGTCGGTGCGTTTGTACATGTAAGCTTCTCTAACTGAAAAATCTCTAAAGGACAAATTACATAACAATAGAGGCTAACAATGTCAACATTCAGTTATCTCAAGGAATAAATGTAGTGTTTCTTAATTTGTGATAATTTTTCATAAGAAATGACTCCATTATGAATGACAATGAGTGAATTACGAAATATAAATCCACAGTTTCATTCCACACAATATAAGTAGACTAACCGGGTACTAGGTAAGGATGGCAAATAAATTGATGACGTAGTGAAACTTCATCAGTTGAGATGGCTGGGACATGTGTTACATATGCCCAACCACCGACTGCCTCAATGTGCGGTGTTTTGTTGTATAGGAGTAGATCGGAAGAAAGCTAGGGGCAGCCAGACCAAAACATGGCACAAGTTCATGAAGTCACTGACAAGTGGACTGAGCCATATTGGTAGGTGTAGACTACCTGGTCGATAGACCGCGAGATGATAGCAACCGATGGTTAGAGACCCTGAATCACATGGCTCAAAATCGTTGACAAAGGCGCAGGTGCATCCACTCTTTGTGTTCTCCCAAATTCTAATCTCCTGAATCCTCCTTGTCTCTTTTTTTCTCTTTAGAAATTTATTCCACTGAATTATACTTCTTGAATAACATCTTCAAACCCTAATCTTTCCGATTACTGTTTATACTCTTACTACCTCTACCACTACTGGATTCGAATCGACAACTCCATATCTGTTCTAATATGGTATGGCAACTTGAACTGATGTACGTACCTACGAAGTTCTACGTTGTTACTGACCGACTGGCTGATGTAGACTAACCACGTTTGGACAACAATGGTAATAATAGCCAAATACGAAGTGAATTGAAAGAATTTTCTTCGGACTTTCATTTACTCAGGTAGACGGTAAGAACTGATGAATAGAGAAAGGAATCTCAGTTTGTTCAATTGTATCAAGCGTTTGACTCAACATTTATGGTTAGGCGGAAAAAGGTAATTGTAAGTATAGGGTTGTAGAGATTGGTGAGCTTCATTGAAATAATAAACCGATCAATGGTAGACCACCATTTGAAATCTCAGAACACTAGATGGCCGTTTTATTCTAGTATACCGGCTTAATAGTCTAAAGGTAAAACATTCGCGCGCAATATCGGAAGCTCTGGGTTTGATCCCCATGTGCAAGGTAGTGGATGCCCACCACTGAGAAGTCCCATATTAGGATGAAACGGCTACCCAGTGCTTCTATCTTTTTAATGGTGGTCTAACATTGGTCGGTTCATGAATTCAAAGAAAAAGAAAAGCTGTAATGAATAAAGTGATAAATAAACACATACACTCATCTAAAAACAAACAACATTACAAATGAATCAGCTGACAATGTCAAATATGTGTGTACACATAATGACTTAGAAATTAAAGGATGAGATTAATTCGTTTGTTCAAAATTTAGAATGATTGATGTAGACATGATGATACTGTACAAAATGTCAAAACACCAAAAACTGATTATTCTCATTATTAATTATTAAACAATTACATACTACTTACCAATAAGTGATTCAATATCCCAATGAAAAACAAATGCAGCTGGACCGGAATTCCATCTCAATTGATTTTTATTATTCATACCAAGTTTATCCTGACTATTTGTTACTGTTGTCGATCCAATTAAATGTAATTGTACAGGTGGTAAATTGTTAGTACATAATTTTTGTAAATCATCAACTGTTGAATACTTTAATCGACTAGGTGCAGTAAGATGAATTGTACCACAGGAACATGTTGAATTGACACCACCACAAAATGGTATAGCTAATGATGTATAAATTGAATATTGATTTGGTACGCCAGCTAATGATCTAGACTTATATGATGACATGGTTATTGATGGTAAAGTGGAAAATGTAAAACTTAAAAATGTTGATGGATGATAAACTTCAGTAATGAATTGAGCTTGTTCAAAAAGATCTCTAGCTGATTGTTCTGTTTCAATACTAGATAAAGAGAAAAATGTACTTTTTAAAAGGGGAGATTGAGAAAGATATAACTCTGAGTATATCTACAATGGGTTCGAGCCTTCTGTAAAACACATACCCCTCGATTCTATAGCCTACTTAAGTCTCATAAACCAGAGGTTCCTTTACGTCCAATTCTAGACATGAAACACTCACCATAAAATTCAACAGAAAAATGGTTGGTGAAATTATTACAACCATCACACCAAGACTTGGTTAAGTACAGGGTTAAAGACGTATTTGAAATTGTGGATACAACAAAAAGTATGAATATAAAAGGCAAAACCGTGTTATCACTAGACATAACATCTTAGTTCACCAACATCTCATTGACAGAAACCATAGATTACATATGTGAACAACTGCTAGAAAAGAAAATAGAAATACCGATCCCAGTAAATAGAATCAACTAGCTTCTGTTGAAATGTACGATGAGTATCTGATTTATGTTTAACAATGAATTTTATAGACAAATAGATAGAGTAGCAATGGGATAACCCCTAGGCCCGATCCTCGCTAATATTTTTTCTAGCTAAACTGAAAAATGGATCGTTGGAAGACATCCTAAATAGGCTAGGTTATTATTATCGATACCTAGATGACGTACTAATCATATGTAAAGAAAGTATCGACAAACAACAGTTGTTGAATAGTTTCAATAACGTTCACCCATCTATTAAGTTCAACAGCGAAGAGGGGAACGATAATAGCATAGCTTTTTTTCTAGAAGGATAGATAGTTTCACAAAAAGAAATGTATTTAGAAAGAATACTTAGACAGGTCAGTATACCCAATTTCATAACTATACACCTCTTCAACACGAAATAAATTTGGTTAAATGTATTGGCCACAGAATCAAACTATTATGTTCGGAGGATAGTGCAAATAGCGAAACACATAAATAAAGAACATGTAAACTCAAAAGATCTGTTGAAAGGACGTTTCGCGCCGCCGAGTTACATGCAATTTTCTCAACCAGACCGCTACTTACAAAACAAATCAAGGACAGGTTACCGATGTTGGGCTGTTCCATGTGTGTATATAAAGTTAACAGCTCCTATGGAGCTAGTTACATAGGCCATACTCATAGGGCTTTATCCTTGTGTGTTTGCGAACATGTACCAGTATGGTTGAAAAAAGGAGTAGCTATATCTATTAATAGCCCCATTATTTCTCATTTGGTCGACAGTGAACATCATATTAAAATAGATGGACCTTTCTCTTTTTCATTTCAAGTTTCAAATAATCTACCTAAAGGAGCTAGATTAAATTTCCTCTATATTTGGATCAACTCGAGATAAATTATTTATCTAGAAGAGGTATATACAGCCTCTATGTTTACCTTGGTCCACAATGGGATCACCAGATACCTTAACTAGATGATATAAACCTTTAATCCACCCTCCCAATTCCTTTTGTATTCATATCTTTATTAATCTATACATTCATCTTTCCCAATACACGAGCTCTTTTTTATTGTAATTACCTTGATAACGCCCATCTTTATACATATTATATTCACATAACGTTGTTATTATTATTACTATGACTATTATCACCTCTGTTAACAAGACGAAATTCTGCTACTATGCATTTTATTCGCACGATTTAATATATGACTATTATATTGATTATAACTTGACACTTTACAACGAATCATTCTGACCTTTATAAAATGATCTTTTTTATTAACAAATAACACAATTCTGAAGTATTTATGTCGTAACCAAATGTAAACATTCACCATTTTTAACATATAACACTGTCAAATTCACTGATGCATATCTTATTTTGACCTTAGTAAAATATCACAATAATTATGGACTTAAAACTGTAGAGCCTGATGATGAAATTATTGAAAACAATTATTCCCTCAAATATTCCGTTTTTAAAAGATGAAACTTTTAGACTTAATCCATATATAAATTCATTTACTGTTGTTTTACTTGTATCTTCCGATTGTTATTTAGGACTGCAATTAAACAGTCTCATGTTGGCATATGTGCATCTTGTGAGGATTGTCCCGATATAGCTTTAAGTCACAAACCTTCATCAACTCTGGGATGCAGGTACATCCAGCTGACGAGTCCCAAGTAGGACGAAACGCGCGTCCTCTATTCCACTGCTAACCACTATCCATATATATTCCATTTGTGCAATTAATGAAACACTTGGGGACTATGGTATTTTCTTGTACAAGGTGATGGTCATTAGTTTGACGGGTATACATGAAATTGTCATTAGTTGACTTTATCATCTAAAATGTTTTGATTCAGTGAACATACAAGAATATAATATCTCAAAAAAAGAATGTTCACATGAATTAGCCACTTAACAGTAACAAACGTTATAATGATGATGTCTAGTCATGAGTGATAATTAACACTTTACAGGTCAAGTTAAAATCTGATCATGAATTCTAAGATCCATCGTCATTATGATGAAGATATCGATAAGCATTCAAATGGTAACAAAAATTGAAAAACGGGATTTTCTGGTTTAGCAGAAGGCTGACCTCATGATAAAACCAGGAACGCCTGACATGATGTTTTCGGATTTTTCCACGCCACATATTTTCTGTAGTTGACTGAGATATCACATATGTGTTATCCATCCTGCAAAATCATTTATACGAGGAATAAACGTACGATAGAATAATGTAAGTGACATGTAGGATGCCGCGACTAAGCTTGTAAATGTTGCGTTATGTGTGTTGTAACAACTTTATGCCCCAATACATGATCGCAGTCAATAACCTATGAATATTTGGTAAAAGTATATTTTCAAAAGTACTTATCAACTGAAAACCTCAAAAAAACCCTGTTATTACTGTTTAGTTAAAGGAATTTTGAAGGGATTGGTTTTATTTGTAGATTTTGTTCGTCATAGATTGATTGATCTCAGTCGTAGTATTATTGAAGATCCAAGAGTACTAGACATTGGTTTCATCCTGGTATATGATACAGCCATGTGCATAACCCATGACCCCGTGCTAGGGAACGAACTTATGAAAGTCAGGTCTCAAATGAAGTCACTTACAGAATAAACTAACCTCAGCAGATGCAATTGACTTCTAGATTAATGGCGGAAGTTTTAGTGAAATATTGTGTCTCGTATAGTTTATACATATCGGCAGTGAAACAGGGATTATTTAAAGTATTGGACAAGCGTCGCTACATATGACGAATTGACTGAAATTAGAAATGTGTACACGATTGGTTACTAACGTCGCGAATGCTATGAGACCTATAGGCCTTAGGTTCAATCCCTGGTGGGTTTGCAGGTGAGTAGTGCTAAGGAGTTCTATACCAAGACAAAAAAGTTATCCAATGCTCCTTGCATTTCAATGGTACTTCAACTGAGATTAATTTAACGAATACAATAGGCCAAACTGTTGTTAGTTATCTTGAAAACTGTTACATCAGAACTTGATATATATAACCAATAATATAACTTTTATAGAATGAGAAATGAAACTTTTGACTAACACTTACCGTTCTAAACAACCCATAGTTATATCCCATACTGTTACTGTACCATCTAAATAATTAATAAATAAAAGATCTTCAGCTAGTCTCCAACCAATAGCAACAACTGGACATGAAGATAAATTACTTGTATTACGTGCGTAAAGGAAGGGACGTTTTTCTTTTAAATTAATTAACCAGACTGAACCATCTGCACCGAATGAACAAATAGTTGTCTAGATACAAAAACAAATTTTTGGATTAAAAATAAATAATCATGATAACCAAGGACTATATACATTTACCGGTAGAATGAAATAAATAAATAGATAAATAAAGGATGCTATTCCATTTACATGTACTAAGAATTTTATTTATAATTAGAGAGGGAGATATAATGGTAAAATTCTACTATATGCCGACGAATATGATTATCGCTTGTAAAAAAACTTGAGAAAATCCGAGTACAGACTATACAGATGAAAAATTTATACAGAATAAAGATATTAAAAAGGATGCACACTTTTTTTACATAATTAACAAATTTATCATGGTTCATTACAAGTTCATCCTCTCCTTAATTTGGAAGTATATTTAATGTACAAACTCATTTATTAAAAACTCGATATCTTTTACTTATCTAAATCTTTACTCAAAGGTAAACAATCTTTTCACTGTATCCGCATTCCCTCAAAACTGTCAGTATACACCCATCTCCTGTTAGAGCGTCTACAAAACGACATTCGTGAACAATGATTCCATGATTAGATACATGTCTAATCAAATAAAGAACGTTGTCTTAATTGATATATTTTCGCAGTAAAGCAAAAGAGAGTTGAAGATATTCGATTTCAAACTTTTCAAAATGTCATATCAGGATGAAGATTGAAGGAATGGTAACTTCCAGGAGTAATTTATGGACTATTATTATATATATATACTCGCTTAATAATCATTAAGTAACTAGATTGCATATATTTGTATTTCTTTTATCATACGATTTCGATTGACGCATTAACTACTGTTATACGATTTACGATCCTTAATCTATTCCAAGTTTATTATTCATAGTCTCTCCTATTCACAAATACTTTTGGCTTGATCCTGTATAATTTCTGTTTTCTATCTTATGGTATTATGTGATCTGGTCTTGTTAGAGATGCTAGATCCCCAGAAATCGCTTGGTCAACGTCTTATTCCTGTAATTTTACTTTGGAGATTTGAATTTAACGTTTTCACGCCAAAACGCCCATTTTTAGCTTCAGATTGTATTTCCCATTTAGAAGAACGCTAAATGTCATTGGTTCGTTGCCTCCTTTAATATGCTATTTTGTGACGTTTCAAAAGGACCTTTTTATGCTGCATATATACGCGTGAATTGTGTATTTGGTTGTTCGTGCTTCTGGTGGAATATACATTTCACTCATTTGAACCTGGTCTTCTCCCTTTAGTTGGTCAACTAAGGGACAATAAGTCATAGAACTCGGGATTCCGATTGGTGGCTTTGTTACATGATATTAGACAGAGGCAAAAAGATAGCATAAAATAGGTTCTACATTACTAACGTTAGTATAGCGATTTGTGGGAATCGTAGTATTTCTAAAGTTGAATTCACAATGTAATTCATATATTAAGACTGGGTTTATTTATTCAGCATTAAGAGAAAAGATTTTTGCGATAATCAGTGGTGTTAATCAACAGGCCAAACTAGAACAGGATTCGGATCTACAACTCAATGACCAAGATTGTGTATCTTGACGATCAAGTGATTAGTTATCGATGCGGTCTGATTTGCTTGCAAATAAACTGCGTTCACATGATTCGTACAATGAAGGCTAAATTGCTTTCTGGACTCAACGGGTAGAACTAGGTAAGAAGGACCAATAAGGATTCAGAGTTGGCACAAGGCTGCTAGTGCTACTTTGACATGTTATTAGTTTAGCACAGGAACAAGGTCGTATGAATTGGTGTTCTAACTGGCGACTTAGTCACGTGATAGTTAACAGGGCAAAAATCGTAGCAAAACCCTCATCCATGAATCCACGCGTTTGAACCCTACTTTATCTACTTCAGCTTGCACAGCCTAGTTATATCACTAGAAGTCACATGAAAATGGTTGCGGTCCAAGACTGAGTATGCAGATCGTAGTTCCAAGCCATGCTCTAACTGGGAGAGCTAATGATACTAAACAACTCTCCAAATCGAAGTACATATCCTAGTAATTGAAAGTTGAACGCCTTAACCACTGAGCAATTCCTCTGTACACATAAATATATACTTGGTAAATAAGTTAAATTATCGATAACCTATGAATAGTAGTAATAAGCATATAATAATGATTAGATATTAAACATTTGATGAAAACGACTGACCGAAAGTCTCGGATTCCCAGCAACCATGTTGACTACAGATGAAATAGGAGGACCAATTGTTAGGCCAATACAAGGTGATGCATGACACCGATATACAGCTAGACATAATGAGTTACTATAATTATTGCCAACATATTTTTTACTACTACTATTACTACCAATATTGTTATCAGTAGATTCATAACATGAATTTAAATCCCATAAACGAACAGTGAAATCCATTCCACCAGACAATAGAAAATCTGGACTGAATTGATAACCTGTAATTGTGCTATTGATACTATTATTAGTAGTAGTTATAGCATCTCCATTGTTATTGTGATGATTTGATGGATATAATTGTCTTTCACAACTAGCTGGATGTAATAAACTTGTCACAGGACCAATATGACCATTTAAACAAAATTTGGGCAATTGATTATGATGTTGCATTGAAAATTGATCATCTGAACTGTCATCATGATGATCATAGTGCCAATAAATTGTCTTTAAAAAATCAACCATACGAACAATTATAATACGTCCATTAGATAAACCAAAAGCTAAACGATATGGATGAATTGTAGGGGGTGAACCTTGAACACGTTGTTGATATGTGATCATTTGATTAAGTTGTATACAAACAGTTACACTTAGATTACCGTTACCGTTATTATTATTACCACTACACAATATTTGATTGGTCATCGTGGAAGCTGTCAATGAATCATCTAATAATGAATGATTGGGACTAATTATATTTGAATGATATTTTGAGTCTGTAATAGAACTCTATAAAAATGTAAAGAGAGAATACACCAGAATCAATATAAATACCATCAAATTGAAGAAATATTTATAAAAAAACATTTGTCAAGTATGTGTACAATTGATTTATTACTGAATAATGTACAATGTCATATTTATCCAGTCTTTTAAGTCCCTATCGAATTTTACGGATCAAGCCAAAATATGGCCGTTTGTTTTAATGACTTTACATCGCATGCATTATGTTAAGAAGTTAGGTGGTGAAACGTGCTTGAAAGGAAACCTTACACCTAGTTTTCGAGTAAGCTGACACTTGTCAACAAGGCGTAACTGTAGGTTAGTACCTCCATAGGGTACATTAATTCCTTCAAGATTGTGCATACGCCCTGTGGACAAGTATCAAATTGCAAGAAAATTGAGTTCAAGGTTTCCTGTCAATGGAATTCGATCACCAATATAAGACAAAAGATTAAAGACATTGATCAGTACTCAATTACCAGCTAGCTATAAATATCTATCATACAGGAGGAGGTCAATAACTGCCCGAATAGTTTTGTGGTAACGTTTCAAACTATAAAGCTCTGTGACATCGGTTCAAATCCCACAGACAGCTACAATCCTATCAAGATTACTGGTACACAATGCTGAAAAGTATTAACAAGTATGCAACATAGGTCCTACAGAATTCTCTGCCGACTACCTCTAACCAACTTATATGTCAACTATATGAGTCTATGTTCATATTCAGGTATCAGAAGTCTTTATTCTTTGCCTGAAACTGAAGTATTTATCCACACTCGAGGATACTATAAACTGATATTACTGAGCTAAATATTTTTTTTCTTCAGACTTCTTAACATAAGGATATATTCATATGTAAATCAATTCGTAATCAAATCACTCTGACTGGGACGAGTCGTTTAGGTTCGAATCCCCAAATGGGAAAAGCCCCCTCTTATAATGTTGCACTACTACCCTGTGGGTTAGACCCCTTGATCAAAGGCTCGGAGAAGGGCTCTCCTAAGAAAACCACCTGATCCGGTTTGGGCACCGGGACAGTATCTCAGCTCACGCAAACTTAACGATTTGTGTGGTACACATATATTTTGGTGCCCCTTTTGTACCAATGTTTGTGTTGTTAAATAAATAATAATAATAATAGTGTTTATGTTGAAATCAGCCTTCTGGTGATCAGATTTCAACTAATAGTTGGTCGTCAATCATAATCAATGTAGAGCCTTGCACAGATGAACATCAGTCCATCAGCACAACGAGATGAAATCAGTAAGATGGATAAAAAAAGTTACAAGAATTGTAATAGCCATGGAAGAAAGATTAGACATTGAGAATATGACATGAGTGGAAGAAATGAGAAAATATGCATGGAAGAAACCAAGATTTCAGTAGAAAACAAATTTAGTTCATCAGTACCACTATGACCGATTCTTTTTCATATCATTCGGCATCTCTAACAACTGATTTTGATTATTAGGCGAAACCAAGTTAGTCTGCATCTGCCAACATGACTTAATATAATAGTCAACGACTTGATGAAATAATCCCACGTTCCGAGACAGAAAAGAATGGAATGTGGAACAAACTTACAAATCAGTGATTGAATGTTAACTACTCTAACAATGAATATATTTTCCCTTCATTTGACTGAGAAATAACTGGGATAATATTCTGCTAGTCAATGAGTACCATAGCAGAATTATATCAAAAGATGTTAATAGGTATCATTACCAAGATTTGATTTGATAATTTCGAATAAATTGAGCATCGGGTAGATTGTTATAAATAAATAATATATTTGTAATATCCCAATGAGTACAAAAATCAGATTTTCTGACGTTTCGTGACTTAGTTTTAACTGTTTCTTTAGAGGATCAATAACCAAATTAAAATTAATCACATAATATTCTTGTTGTTTCGTTGTACTATTTAACTTACTTACTTACGCCTGTTACTCCTTGTGAAGGACCATAGGCCGATCAGCAGCATTCGCCATCCAACCCTGTCCTGGGCAATCCTTTCTAGCTCCTTCCAGTTGTTATTCATCTTTTCCATATCTGCTTTTATTTCCCGACGTAATGTGTTCTCTGTCCTTCCTCTTTTCCGCTTCCATTCACGATTCCGAGTTAGAGCTTGCCTCGTGATGCAGTTTGACGATTTGCGTAGTGTATGTCCTATCCATTTCCATCGTCTCTTCCTAATTTCCTCTTCAGCTCGAAGCTGATTTGTTCTCTCCCACAAAAGGCTGTTGCTGATGGTATTCGGCCAATGGATGCTGAGTATCTTGCGTAGATAGCTATTTATAAATACTTGCACCTTCTTGATGATGGTTGTTGTAGTTCTCCAAGTTTCAGCTCCGTACAGTAGAACTGCCTTGACATTCGTATTGAAGATTCTCACTTTGATATTGGTTGAAAGTGGTTTTCAGTTCCATATGTTCTTCGACTGTAGGAATGAGGCCCTTGCTTTGCCAATCCTTGCCTTTACGTCTGCATCTGAACCTCTTTGTTCATCGATGATGCTTCCCAGTTATGTGAAGGATTCTACATCTTCCAGAGTTTCGCCATCAAGAGTGATTGGATTGCTGTACTCCGCTTCGAATTTGAGGACCTTGGTTTTCACTTTGTGTATGCTGAGGCCTACTGATGCAGAGACTGCTGCTACACTGGCTGTCTTTGTCTGCATCTGTTCTTGTGTATGAGATAGGAGGGCTAGGTCATCTGCGAAGAACAAATCGTCTAATTGATTTTGAGCTGTTCATTGTATTCCGTGTTTTCCTTCGGATGTCGAGGTCTTCATAATCCAGTCGACCACTAGAAGAAAGAGGAAGGGAGAGAGTAAACAGCCTTGTCTGACTCCGGTCCTTACTTGGAATGCATCTGTCAGCTGTCCTCCATGCACGGACTTGCACTGTATTCGATCATATGAGTTCCGGATAATGTTGACAATCTTCTCAGGAACTCCGTAGTGTCGAAGAAGTTTCCATAACGTCCTCCTATCCACACTGTCAAATGCCTTTTCAAAATCAATGAAGTCGATGTGCAGTGACGAGTTCCACTCAACTGATTGTTCGACGATGATCCGTAGTGTTGCAATTTGGTCTGTGCACGATCGATCCTTACGGAATCCAGCTTGTTGATCTCGAAGTTGGGCGTCTACTGCATCTTTCATCCGGTTGAGCAACACTCTGTTTAAGACTTTCCCTGGTATTGACAGTAGTGTAATGCCTCTGTAGTTTTCGCATTTGCTCAGATCTTTCTTTGGAATCTTGACGAGGTGTCCTTCTTTCCAGTCCATTGGCACTTGTTCCTCCTCCCGAATCTTTTAATCTAGAGGGTAAAGCATGCTTGTGGTTACTTCGATGTCTGATTTCAGTGCTTCAACTGGTATGTTGTCGGGTCCTGCTGCTTTCCCGTTCTTGATTTGTCTGACGGCCATTCTAATTTCTTCCGTCGTTGGTGGGTTGACATATATAGGAAGATCTGTGTGTGCTGCTTCGATGTTCGGTGGATTCATTGGAGCCGGCCTATTCAGGAGTTCCTCGAAGTATTCTACCCATCTCTTCTGCTGTTGTTGAATTTCAGTATGTACTATTTAAACTTGGATTAACTTTAATTAGGTTATTTATTCTCTGAAGAAATAGCTTACTCTAAGTCATGAAACGTCAGAAAATCTAATTTTTCTACTCATTGGGATATTACAAATATCTTATTCATTTACTATAGATGTTAAGTTTCGTTGAGCTGACTACACACTCCAATTAACTCAATAGATTTATGTAAAGTATGAAATCAATTATTAAGACAAGATTATGTATCAATTAATGTTTCTTACTTTGTAAAACTAATTCGAATATTTATTAGCTAAAGCATATCGATTTCAAAAGAAAATTTTAAAACAACGCCTGATCAACCAGTTACTGATGACTTCATTTCATCACAAATCGATATCCGATAGGCTGGGTTAGTGTGTATAGACACATCACAGTACCAACATGTCATCGTAAATTTAAACGGTAAATGCAAAATTACAAACGAGACATGCATTTGAAAGAAATCGATTATGTATCCAGTTAAGATCTAAGTCTACATGTCTATTTTTAGGCCAGAAAGACAATTATATATATATATATATATATATATATATATATTTCTACACTTCTCATCTGGCCAGTGGGTTTGGTGTATCGTAGGATGTGTATGCAGTAACTGGGTCGGATATCAAAACACAATACGCCTAGAAAACACCGAGCATAATGAGAAGCTGTTTCGTTTTATTCTGAAATTTCTCAGCGCCATACTATCTTCACACAACACCATAGGTAGGACAAGTCCGGGAATTTTTAGGACTTATTGTAACAAGAGTAGGAGATAGTCAAATCATGAAGTCTGGATCCATCGACTTAATGTTTCACATTAGAATGAAAATATGAAAAAAGGTATTTCTCAGACTTTTTAGTGGAATATCGTGACTAATGAAATCAAGCAAGTCGGATATAACTCAATAGCTTAACTTTGATGACAAACTGTAGAGTGGTGAGGATGATATTCACGTTATATAATCACAAATTAACTCTCTGAGATACTTCTTACATTTCAATGGATTCGTTAGCTGACATCAGTTCCTAATGAAAATTATCTCTAAAAATGTATACATATACATATGTTCCAGAAATCACTTCAACCAAAAAAAAAATTTCAAGTGATTTCAAAACAAAAGTATCAAATGCAGAAAATAATTGGGAAGGAAAACAAATAAACCACTCACTGTCAAAAACATAGCTACATTAGGTAATGCTTGTTTTTTCCATACAGTATGTAGATCACTACACATAATTGGAGGTGTAATAGGGATATCTAAAGTGTAGAAAAAAAGTATATATAAATATAGATACAGAAAATGAGTGACTAACGTTAACACTATCAATTTCATACAATCCACTATATTCACTGATATCAGAAGTTATAAGTGGATTAGCTAACTATGAATTTGTTTTACACAATTAACTGTTTTCTCACATTATTAAATATTTCGATACAATTATTTATCTGAATGGAATAGATGGGATTGATAAAAATCTCTGCTTTTATTGGCCAAGGAGTGATGATGATGACGGATAGAGCAAAGTTGTAATCAGCTAATTTCAACATTTTTTTCATTTTTCGAAAACTCTTTATCAATTATGTTTGAGAATTTTGTTTAATGACGTAACATTCATTTATTTTACAATAGACTAACACATGTAAAATGTAGCTACAAATACGATTTTATAGCTTAAAAGAATGGCACCGTTGATTTACCGTTGATTAACTCTTTATTGGATTGAAAATCAATGAAATATTTCCCAAGAATTCAACTGAAATTATTCATGAAAAAGAATTTTTCTTGATCACTATTCTGAATATTGAAAATCGGGTACTTTTAAAATTATATCTGGCGGCCTGAAACTCCTATACCTAGTCGATGATTCATATAAACAGTATAGAATTCTTTATTAATCTTCACACAGATTTCAAGATGTTTCATCATTGGTCTTTTTGTTATATTGTACAATTATCCGAGTTTGTAATCATTACTCTAGCTTTCTATAAATGAACCCAAATCAACAACTTGAGAAAGAAGATCAACAGTGAAAAAGAAGCATTGTTGACCGAAACGAGAATATATATATATAAAGCCATATTTTCAACTAATATTGTGTTCTTCCCCACAAAATGAAGTTAAATCTTGGTCAATGGCGTCTGCTTATCTTTTCCAATAGAATCCCAGTTGATTGAATAACAGCTACTTAGATTATCACTAAAAGGATTGGACAGACATGAAACTAGTTACTACTCAGAGCCCAAGCATCTATACAATATCTCAGTCCTACAGGTCAACCGATAATATCTCAGTGGTAGTGTCTCAAACTGTGAAACTGGGTGATACAGGATTAAATCCTCTAGAGAGTACTAGTTCTGTAGAAGTTAAAAGTACACCTTACTGATGAGTGCTAAATAGAATGAAACTTAGGTCGAGCCGGGTAGGATCTTGTTGATTACCTCCAGCTACCACCTAATGAAATAATAATTCTCATATATATATATATATATATATATATATATATATATATATATATCATTCTAAGGAAAACGTTACTTTTCGCTATTGAATCATTTAATGACATTTGTTTCTTTCGTTGATCGACAATATTCAATACGAATGAATCTAGTTTTATACACCAAGCTAATAATTGTCCATGAGTAGTACCGGCTAATAAATATTGATTATTATCATTGGGATGAATAAATGCTGAAGTGAAACAACCAAACTTTTGTACAGTCATAGTAGTATTTATTGAATTTACATGATGATGATCAACTACACCTTTGTCTATTTTTGTTGTAATATTGCCACTGTTGTTAACATCACAAGGCTATACAAATCATAAATAATGTACAATAGGAAAGAAGAATAAAAGATTTAGCGAAAAAATGGAGAAAAATATTGACAAAACAAAATGGCCTAGTTGAAAGAGATATGTAGAGATTAATTTAAGTTGTGGGTTGTATCCATTATCAGTTGGGGTACCATTGATAACTGGGGAGTACTGGATAACTCTTTTCTATTAGTAGGCACTTATCAGGAGTGTGTGCAACAACGAGACACGAAGGTTATGAGTTCAACCATTAGATGAATTGTGGTGCTCAGTATTGAGGAATCTAGTACCAGTACGAAACAATTCCCACTAGCTTTCAGTGATACTCCAGCTGAAATGGTTAAAGTTAGATATTAACACCATCGTAATCCGGCTCAGTGGTATAGAGGTTAAGCGTTCGTATGAGAACGAAGGTCCTTGGCCCAGATTCCGTGTGTGGGATAGTGGATGTGCACTGCTAAGGAGTCCTATACTAGGACGAAATGGCCGTTCAGTGCTTCCGGGTTTTCAAAGGTGGTCTGACATTGATTGCTTCATGACCCCGGAAAAAACCAACAATTACCACAACACTAAACTGATTCTTATTGCGTAATTTGATAATTCTAATGAATGGTATCTCAGTATCTATTTTTTTCAAGCTGTTGATCTATTTCACACTATGAAACATTGGTTCAAGCCTTTATTATCATCTGAAAGTTTTTCACAATGACAAATAGTACACCTATAATCACACTATCAATTAGTACTTTTTACTGATGTAATCTATTTCGCTATTACCAATGACTCAAAAACTGCCTTCATTGGTTTAATATATTAAAGTAAAGCCTGATGAGGATGTGATTGAAAACAACGTTGTTCGGTGACATATGTTGTTCTAATTCATTCTATTCTGCAAATTTTATAATCCTTGCTCCATAATAATCAAATTCTCTTACCAATACTATTACTACTACTACTACTAGCAATAATAATAATATATGGCCAGAATAGATAAACATAGGAAAAGATTTTCAAGCAAAAAATGACTATCCAATTAATAAAATACATGTACACTTACAGAGAAAGTGGCTATATGCACCGGAACATCTGTGCAAATACAATCTCTTGAATAGATAATAAGGCTAAATAAAGAGAAAATACAGAAGAAAATGTGGATTATAGTTTAGATAGAATATTTTTGATACATTTCATGTCATGTTATATGCAACATAGAGGACCTGATATATATATATATATATATATATATATATATATATATATATATATATATATATATAGGTTCAATTTCCCTGCGCTTAATTGAAGACAAATCCAAGAGTAGTAGAAGTTGTATTAACAGTATCCGTAGTTGATGTATCACAAGTGAAACTAAAGAAATGATGACTCCTGGAACTATTTTGTGGATTATTATTATTATTATTAAATACAATATTATTCATTGTTATGTAACTGTTATCTTTCGATAATCATAAATGCGAGTCAGTTACCTACCGGAAACTCTAGAAGATGGTCGTGCAATATAGTGATTGAATTTGGACATTAGCATTATTGGAAGCCGGTTTGGTGATCTAAAAGTTAAAGGTCCACGAGCGAGACCGAAGTTCCCGTGTACGGATCCCGCGTGCGGGATCGTGCATGAGCCCTGCCGAGAAATCCTATACTAGGACAAAATGGGCATCCAGTCTTCTGTCAAGAGAACACTATTCTCATACGTTACAAATTTATTAGTACAGGAGGATTTGTGGAGATTTTAGAACGTTCATAATTTAAATTGTAATCTGATCTTAGTTAGTCCATCACTAAAAACGAGGAAGCAGTGAATAGTTATTTCCTCTCAGCATAGATCTCCTAAGAAATGGGTATCCATGACCATTCAATCGTTAATTGAACACGGAACCCTCGGTGACGCGAGCAAGAGCTTAAATTGTAGACAACTGAGCCTGTATCCAGTGTTACACATATCAAACTTCAATTAAATCACGGGTAGCCATCACGCATAGTATGTGGTGGATGAGTGTTTCGCATACGATATGGTTGAACTACTCTGGTCATGACTCCAGGAGGTGTATCTTGAAGCTAGTCACTAGTGAGTACATAACCATTATAGGTATGAGGATTTGTGGTAACTAAAAGTTTCATAGTTTAAACCACAAACTGATCTTAGCTAGATTCACGGATGAAGGATCGTGTATACATACTGCTGGGGAGTCCCATATTAAGATGAAGCGGCTGTCCACTGCTTCCAGGTTTTTAATGGTGGTCTCGCTAAAATCAGTTCGTGATTTATGCTACAAAAAAATTATTTCGTTTGTACGCCCACGCGCACAAAACAACATACCTTTTTGGCAAGCTATACAAATAAATAAATCCCGACTGGCCATAGACACTTATCACATTAGATTGAATGAAACTCCCACCAACTAATACATCATTTGTTGGATTTGATACTGTACAATTAATGGAACAAGTCATTGCATCGAAAAGCTGAACAAGAAAACACAGGAAAAGTAAATATCATAGTTGACACCGAAAAAATGCTACAAGTATGTTAGTCAGTCAATCAATTAATCAGTCATACGCAATGTAGAACCAGGAATATATAGTGGCCCTTATATACTTGAAATATAATACACAAAAACAAATTTAAAATCGCATCATGTAATGGTATGGCCGATTGGTAAAAACTGTCATGTGAACCCATTCAACCTTTGCATGGATAATTGTGACATTGTTGGTTACATCGTACGCATGCTTCTCTCTCTCTTTCTTTGTTTGCGTTACTCTGCCTATTTTCATACACATAAGCTGATTCCGAACTAACCAGACGTTTCTTAACCCAGTACCATCGCGTTATCCACTTAGCTACTGAGTCCCAGAGTGAACATCAACTCTGAAATACAAGTACATCGAGCTGACGAGTCCTAAATAGGACGAAACGCGCGTCCTCCATTCCACAGCTAGCCACTATTCATCTTTGCTTTTAAAGCTTGTGAATTAAGGCAATATCGAGGCAGTCCGCACAGGATGCATATATGCCAATAAGACTAACCAAACGCAGTCCTAAATAAAAATGGGAAGATACAAGTAAACAACATCAGGTGAGTTTACAATGAGAAAAGTTATGAAATAGTGTGTGCTGATTAGTTCAACAACCACAAAACAGATTCTTCAGTAATGTTACTCTGACCACTATGTAACAGTATGAATTAAAATCTTCCGAAGCAGAAAAATTGCTGAACAAAAGTATGCAGTATAGGAATAAACCTAAAAGGACCACGGTAAATTTTAGTCACTTGGTAGCGAATCATTAAAAAAACAGCTTCGTACGTGAAGAGTTGATGGAAAATCAATAATAAACAGATATTACGTAGTTAATGAATTAATTGAAACTTCTACATATTTTTCTTTCTGTGAATCAAGAAAACAACGACATATACAACCGTTCATATGGATGCAGAATATTGATCCCATCAAAATAGATTATTAGTTCATACATTTATTATTCCTGGACAAGGATTAAAAGTTATGACTGTAGCGTCGGTTGCTATGTCAACGCCACACAGCTTATTCTAGCTTCTGGACAGGCCAATATATCTATTATTCTTGAGTCACATTTTGAACTTGTCACTTATTCGCTTATCAACGTTTATTGTTTTTATGTAAGCGTATGTGTGTACATTTCGTATCTTGCTTATCACATATCTGTAACTTATTTTTGTCTTATTATAAATATCAATTAACGCTTGATTAAATCGAGTTGGCTAACATGTCTTCTCCAATCCGTTTTGCTACCTTCGCTCCGTCTCTATGATTGTTCTGATCAACGATTGTGCAAAATATACGTATTTAAAACTTTATTCTCGTATTTGACTTATTTTAATTCTGTTATTCACTAACGCGAGTTAAGTTGATAATTATATACGAGGATTGACGACATACATATTCCAATGAAAATTATTCATACGATCAAAATGGAGTCGGATATTCCAGGGCCACTAAAGAATTATAAGGATTTGAGGTTACAGTTAAGATTAGGAATTAAGGTTTGGGGATTTAGGATTAAGAGTATTGGAGTTGGTATCAGAATGAAGGGTTAATACTTAAGTATAGAGTTAATTTGCTTATTATATACAATCTAAGTATAAAAAATCACATATTTATTACGTTTAACACTCATTTTTGTACTGTGAAAAGAAACAATAATTTTTCATTTTAATTTTAAACATTTTGATTACTATACAAAGGTATCTTCATCGTTAGTTTTACGTGATTTAAGGAAAATTGTTATACATTTTTGAATTTCTATTCACTGTCCATTGAAGAGATTACACTGATTGACATAACATTTTAAGTAACAATTTAACTGGTATCCAGCTTACTCACCATTCCAAAATAACAAGAATGAGAAATTGAAACAAATCCCCTATTTTATAATGAAGTTTAAAAGATTGTAGGTAATCTAAAGCGAACGGGAGAAGCGTGTCCTCATGGACTGGCCTAAGAGATCTTTAAAGATGGTAGTTCACTTCTAGTAATTAAACTGACTGAAATACCAGGCAGAATTTAGATGTACGTAGTACCATTTAACTGGTCTCAATTACTGATGGTCCCAATTTATAAAGAAATCTTGTGGAAACCAAAGATAAATCAGTTTGACTAATATAGTATCTAAAATATTGGCCTCTATAATTATCCGTCTCTTAACTAGGGCTCGAGAAGAGAAAACCAGGGTGATTTAAGACCTGGACGTGAACTTCTAGGCCAAACATTTGTCCTTCATCAAGTTCCGAAATACAGACATACATTCCGATGTCCGACTATAGTTGCATTTTCTGACTGTAGAGCAGCATTTGACACTGCTGACCGAGAAGTTATCTTTGATAGTATCCGGATTTTCAGGCATACCAAACAAGTATATTAACATTTTATAAGCGCTTTACCCGAACAGGACCCGGTCGAGTTAGAGCTTGATCGCACAATCACAAGAATTAACAACCTCAAGTGTTTGTCCGCTTTCTCCCTTTTTATTACATGTTGTCGAAGACATTCTTTTTGTTACACTAGGAGCTTGCAGTATCTAACTTACTATAAATTTTACTGTGAAATTGATTCTATTTAACTAAATTTTAATATATCAGTTGCACTTAATATCCGTATTTGGTTTGTTTATCATATTAACCTTGGACATTCAGTAAACAACGTAGCTAACAATATATGACTAGTTGTATAGGAGGACTTGCGGAGATTGTAGAGAGTTCATCGTTTAGATCACGAACTGATATTAACTAGATCACTATCGAAAGCCAAGAAGCACTGGACGGGCATTTCGTCCTGGTGTGCGACTCCTCAGAATTGGACATCCGCAACCCGGTAGTAGGGAATCGAACCCCGAACCCTCTGTCTCGCGTACGGACGCATTACCTCTAGACCACTGACTCAATGTTTAACAGAGTTAATGTTCACTTTCAATCAATTTATGTGAAGACATACTAATGAGGAGTCCCATACTGGAACTAGACAGCCGTCCAGTGCTCCCAGTTTTTTAAATAATGCTTTAGCTAAGACTAAGTAGTGATCTGAGCTATCAAAATAAGTGTATCAGTTAGCTCCAATTTTAGATGTTCTTTCAATTTGTTGCAATTTATCTTAAACCCAGTTTACATAATTACCTTTAATATTTATAATATTTGAATGATTTTTTTTAAAAAGTAAAAGTTATTCACCAAGTACAGATTTTATGTCATCTTTGGGTGACGCAATTTATATTACAGCTAGTGATACTGTGGTATGTGCTACTGATGTCGACAGATATGAGTAGTATGTATTATCAATCGAAAATGAAATGCCTGGCGGCAGAAGGTTAAAAAGATCTATGAAAAGACAATGAGAACAAAGTGATTGGTGTGGAAACGAAGGAACAGCCAAGTCTGAGACAATTGACAATGAAGAATTTAATGTATGGTTCCCAAATTTTACCAAGAAATTCTGTAATTTTGTGTCCAAATACATTTGATTTTCCCCACTGGTGTTCTCGTTCACTACAATACTCTACTCAGTTGTTTGTAACGCTGAGTGATATAGATCAAAATTGGACACAACCACGCAGATTCATTCACTATTTATCTCTCAATAGATCTAGAGTTTCAGTATTCTTTCAGAAATAACATTCATTCTGTCTTCTCGAACCATATTCGTAAAACATATTCTTTCTTATTATCATTGCTACTACATTATTTCGACTTGCTTCCGATTCATCTTGTTAACTTCGTTTTGTTGTGTTAATGTAGTAATGGGTTTTGAGGAACACTTTGATTGTAAGAACTAGTAATACTACTCAAACATAGATTTAGGCTCAAACTTATAACTTACTACTGACTGAAAGCCGAATGTCATAAGCACTGAGTTACCATTCCATATCACACATGAACAGTCACAAATGCACACAGACATCCCATAAAACTATAATACTTACTTGCCATCCATTGGAACAAACTAATAATATACATCGTGGTGTTTGTGGACAACAATCAACTTGTATTATGGTAGATGGAGAATTGATAGATCGTGATTCGTGTTCATATTTTGCTTCACCCTAAAATTATTGAAAGTGAAAAAAGTTCGTAAACACCGAAATAGTAGAACAGCAAAAAGATTGGTGAAATCACCCTTGGAAATACGATTACAATAGTTCAGTTCGAAAGGTGCTATTTGGTACTCATCAGCAAGAGTTACCTGTAAACTTGAGGAAACGGATGCTCTCCGGTGGATTATATCAAGTGACGCTCGGCTTCACTGCCACATTGAAGTAACTAGAACTATTTCGTAATAAATCTTTCTTCTCCAGTTCCTTGTTTTAAAATGAAAATTAATGTATAAATGCAACATCGGTGTCACACTAAATACAACTATAATTAAATTTGGAAATAACAAGTCTGGATGGATAGCTAAACTGAACAGAGAGGGGGTTACATAGGTATAGCGCTAAGTACAAAACAGATTACTCTGTTTAAGCAATAATGATTAGCGAAGGATCATTCGAAGGACTAACTTTGACTATTTTGCTAAAGAAAACTGTTACTACTATAACTATTACTATTGTTATTACGATCACTATTGTTAGCTCATGACAAAAATTGAACTAACCTTCAGAAACAAATAAAATAACAAGCTAAGCAATAGAATTATGGTGAGAGGTTGTGATCGGTGGATTTCAACAAATGTTAGGTGTGAGGCAGTTACGGACAAACGCTGTTCGAAGATGGCTGCTCAATATCGTGAATCGATTGATGATGGAAATGAAAATTATTGGATGCCAACTAATAACTGATCTGGACGCACACTGAAACCTGGAGGTCCTGAGTTAGATCTCCAGTGAGGTCGTAGATGATATATATATATATATATAACCAATCAGATTATTTAAACCAAGTATATACATCCAGTTGTGGTTCAGTGGTAATATTATTTGCATTTCAACCGTACGATTTATGAGGAAGATCGATGGTATCTGATGAATTAGCTTAGTGAGCTCTGTAGAGAAATAGTTATACCTAACTAATTAGTTCCATTTCAACAGATCAGTGTTCTTAGATATTTCCATAAGATATCAAAATTTTTTGTGAACTTATTTTGTATATATTGGGTGTTTACTATGTAAGACATAAACAAACGCATTTTTTACACTTATACACTTATTCCATCTGTTGCATTCAAATTTACCCTTGTTTTATATAATTTGGTAGTTGGGGGCAATTGATGGAAAGCATCAACTGACGTATTTCTCGTATTACTTGACGCTCATCAGCAAAGCGTACTTGTAGTCCTGAAGAAACTGATGTTGCTCGCGAAATTTGGACCAGTTAGTCAACTCAACAGCCTGAAACTACTTAAACAAGTAGTCATATTGTGGCATTATCAATTAGATTTGATAGGCACTAAAGAAAAAATGAACATGACATTGGTCACTTTTTCATGATAAGCGTAAAGCAAACCATTCATTGGTTGGTTCTATAATCAACTGCTCCTATTATTTGCGATAACAAAAGGATTTGGTTGAGAAAGACTTGTTAGTTGGTTTTTAAAAGCAACTGGACATTTTACAAAATACATTGAAACTACTCATGAGTAATGTGATGTATAAGATGAAATTTATCTACATTATTTCCTGATAGACCTGTACCAAAAAAATAAAATATTGATATGAGGAAGCTGCTCAACAATGTCATTAAATAACGGTCACATTTTGATTGCGAACTCAATAAATTCGAGAAGTCAAGGACTTCTGGATTACAAACCTTACGCGCTCTGAGAAATAACTTTAAGATATTGTGTGTTTAGAGCATTAAGTATGTGTGGAATTCTTTACCTGAGTTCAGAATCCCTATTTACTAATATTATTACTGTCCAGACTAACCCACTAATCGTGGTTTTAAGTTTCATAAGTTGAATTTTCGTATTCATACACCGAAATCTGAGTAAACCTGAGACTTGTGTTCTATTGAAATGACCTTCGCTTTCCACTATTGCAACACATAACTTTGTTCTTTACTTTTCGATGTCACCTGCAGGTCATACACACAAAAAAGTGTTATAAAGAAGTTATCCCTTCAATTGAGGCATAAGGATAACTCCCTTATGAATATACCAGCACTCTCTTCTCACTTTAACATTCAGTGGTGCATCTTTAGATTTTTATGTAGTGACTCGGTCGCTTTACAATAATTCAGTTTTTGATTGAGATCATGAATCGATTGATGTGGTCTAGCATCAATCGATTCATGATCTCAATCAGAAACTTAATAATCTCCACAACCCCATACTGATAATTACAATAATTACGCAATATTCATCTTTGTGATAGTATTATCAACCCCCCCCCTCACTACAGAACATAGCAGTCAACTGATAAACACTGTAATAAGTGATATGTTAGCTCGACCGATCCCGACGAAATAGTATGATGAATACAGTGATAAATCACACGACCCCATTGTAGACCTTCACATAAATAAACAATATGTATTATCACATGATCAATTTGTATATAATACTAAACTCAAAATAAGACAAAGTAGACAAAAGGATAAATGTTTTGCTTGACCAATATTCTCCTTTTATTTAAAACAAAAAATTTGTAATAACAGTAAATAAGAAACGCCTGATGGTACTTAAATTCCTGCTAAGTTACATGAATGGGAGTTTTTGGGGGTAGGACTATGCACTGAATTCGTTCGTCGATTCTAGAAGTTAGAGATAGTTATTTGTTAAAGTGGAGTTTCGTTCTTGGTTGGCGCTCACCACTTTCAAGGTGACACAATAACTCGCTTATGAAAGACGGAGAATAAACCATGAAATATGAATTCTCTGTTTGATTCCGATATCGAATTTAGACCGTCCCCGTTCGAACAGAATATGTTACGGATATTCAGAAAGACAAGCAGACAGACAGACAATAAGAGGTGTAGCATTGAGAAAGGCTTCATAGCTTAGTCAGTTTTACCAAGCGTGACTCAACACTTATAAGCATGAAAGTTACAACCAATTATATAAACGCAAACGCATTATCATATACATATGTTGAAGGTCGCATACACAAATGACGAAACGACTTGTAAGATCAAAACAATTCATCTGTTCAAAAGTTAGGATAAATTGCGTAGGCATGTAACAGTCATGATTGCTACAAGTTGTTCATGTTAATTCGAAGGATGGTATGTTAAGTTTAAATAAGCAAACGTAGCAAATCATTACTTTGCATCATCCATTATCCATAGACAAAATATTTCGAGGCAAAGAGATCTTGTTGAACACGGGACCTAACTGTAGCCGTTACGTTGATCTGGTAGTCAGGTTTACATACTGTAATGACATAACACTTAGCTGTATCAGCTGGAACGCTTGTTCACTTACGTCCTACCATCTGACCCAAGTTGGTTGGAAAGTGGCAAAACTGAAAGCAACAAACTTAAAGTTCGAGGACGAAGCTGTACTGCCAACTGTACTAAGATATGATGACGGTAAAGTGTTTACTTCAGACAACCACCATCTGCAGAAATGCTGTCTTTTCACAAAGGATAGGGGTCAGCCATTAAAATAATTATCTACACAAAGTTAGTGTGTGATTAGCCTCAACCAGTTATCCCTTGGATTTTGAGACCACATTCTGTGGTCGACAAAACTGCTATTAAATTGGTTTTGGCTTCAGGTATCTCGAGAAGCACCTTTCCACAGTATGAATAACTGAGAAAAAAACAACTTCTCTCAAACCTCCAACAGCCCTCAAAACCACCCTGGTCACAATTCAATCCCTTCAACACAAGAAGTGTTCGCTTTTTACCAGTATCGGATTGTGGAGATTGTTGGATTTTATTGAGAACACGAACTGATTTAAGTTAGACGACCATTTAGAACCTACAAGGACTGGATACCCACTTGTTTCTAGTGTGTCGGTCAGCTGTGCACACCAACAATCCCGCCTCTAGGTATATGAGCCAGAAACTTTAAGTCTCGTAAACGAATGAGTAACCTCTAGACGATTGAGCCGGCATCCACTGGTGTACAAGTCTCACCTCGATCGATCCGGTATTGCGTGATCTTCGGTTATTGTTAAGCACTCCAATATAGTTTGTAATTATTATATGTGTCTGAGGAATTATTTATATCAATAAAGTGATATGATGTTGTCTAATAAGAAAATTAAGAAGTGAGAAACCTGCAAAATGCTTTATAACAGGGTTATTGAAGGCTCTTTGAAAACAAGAAAGTGATCTATCTCTCACTCTCCCTCCATTTTGGTCCTTATTTCACCAAAGTAATATAGCTTCTATGTTTAGTGAATGAAGAGTGAAGAGTACACTACTTACTAACAATCACTTGTTAAATAAAATCTTATTGAGCCATACATATGGGTATCATACATATTTAGATATCAAATAAATGGTATTTTTTCAGGAACTTCATGAACGAATGCGTGTCCATATATCTGACTGATACTAATACCAGTAAGAATGTATTCTCTTTGGCTTTAAGTCACACTTTTCGTATCAAGGCTAGTGATACGGATTGGATACTCAAACCGAAGTAGGTGGAGCGGCGTTTAAACCCAAAAACTACTGATTGAAGGTCAACTTGTTTGATCAATAGGCAACCGTTCAACAAATTATTACAATAAACGAGGGGTCAGGGTTCAATAAAACAAGAACACAACGACTTACTTGTGTTTCTTCACCGTCCAGCGTCCATAATATAGCTAGATTGGAGTATGAAAGACCTAAAACAATTTCGTCTAGACACAAAAAAGAGACAAACAAAAAGATTCAAAGATCACTGGAGGTGAAAATGTAGCTTATTGCATTCGAAAATTTAAACAACCTCGGTAAGATTCCACATATGGTTATGTGTACGTTTATCGCCCGAATACCCTGGTACGATAGAGGATGTAGAGAGTTTGCTCCCCCCCCCCCCGAAATCCTCTCAATATGACCGAACGTCCACAGCCACTTCCACAGAATTCTAACTTACTGCCATCTCACGGCGGGGGTTGTTTACGAGATCGAGAGGACGAAAGGCGAATATCCGACGCTCAAACCGGATTGGTGGGTACAGTGGATTCACCAAAAATGAGTCGGAAAATCTTAATTCCGAAATTATGGTGCAAATGGGACAGGATGCTGAGGGAAAAAATGTCGTATGAAACTATTCTTGGTGACCTGCCGCTATGGGAACGCATCCCCTGAAGTTGCTCAACTCTCTTGTTGATTAGACCCTTAGGTCAAAGGCTCGGAGACTGGCTCCCTGATAAAGCCGCCTGCTCTGGTTTGAGCACCCAGAGAGTATACCAGCTCACACACAAACCTAATGATTTGTGTGGCACATACATATTTTGGTGTCCCTTTTTACCAATGTTTATGTTTTTAAATAAACAACAAATAATGTGTGTATGGATTATCAAAAAAACATTACCCCAGTGCTTCCTGATAAGTTTCTGGTAGTTCTGTAGTTGAAGTCTCTTTGTGATTAAAATTATTCCTCAACGTGTACAAAAAGAATCTCAACTAAAAGTGACCTTAGTAAATAAGTACTTTTAAAATGAAATGTATGTATTTCAGTTTGAAATGTTATCACGCTACCCCCGTGTTTGTAAACTTCACAAAATGCTTAACTGCATTACATGACCCAACTACCAGGTAAAAAAACCTTACTACAAATAGTGGTAACAATGATGCTGGAGAACTCCAAAAGCTAGAACTTCACTATGTCATGGTAACAGTTGTAGAAGGCTTGGGTCGACAGTAAATCTTTAACACTATCAGCTAATGAACTTGCAAATTTGTCTCCGGTCTTTGGTAGCAGTTAGTGTGTTTTGGTTCAAGTTGGGTAACCTGTCGGCATAGACAGTTGCAAGTTTTTTTCGTGATGAAAACATGCTGACATACCTAATTCAGGAAGATTAGTTCGAACTTTTTAAAAGCTCATTTGAAAAGAAGCTACTTCATACTTTAATGAAGGAGTAAATATAGATGTCTAATAAAACGCAGGTTTTTTCAGAACACTGATCACACAATCACATAGGTTATTTTAAAGAATTCCTTACTATCTCTGTGTAATCTTTTTGAAAGAAGATGAATTCTTACCACTAATTCCACAATTAAGGAAATATATGATTGCTCTCCAAGTAGATAATTCAAAATACTCAGTATATTTTGAATAAATTCCATGGCAGCAGTGTGAAAAATCAACAATCACAAGCAAACGGACAGATTGATATGACCGGCATAGAGTCTGGGCACAGATATGCGTTGACCCAAGTTGCCGCGCTTAAATAGCACAACTATACGAAAATAACAAAAGAGGTCGAAATAATGTTCATCAACGATAGTGAGAAAGACTAGACCCTGGGAATACAGTTTGATAAGGTAGAATGGAAAGGTGTGTATGACGGAATATTGGAATTCAAGATCGAGAGGAGGACAATTAGTGAATGCACCTGGGCCCCGAACGACTGACCACGGTTACTGCGCGGAGCCCAGCCAGGTAGTTTACATCGAACGTGACCCAGACCAAGGCTTGATGACCACATAGGCTGATGTCATGTTTTGATTTGACCACTCCTACACTCCTTTAAGCTGATTTCTACTCTACCTAACATCACTCTTCGAGGTAGGCTGTGTTGAGGCATACGTGACACATGTCCCAACCAACCAAGACGATGAAGATTGGCAACCTATACATTACTGGCAAATGGCTACACTTCAGGAGTACGGATAACAATAAAATTGCAATCACTTGGCTGTTGAATACAATATTAGCTAAACAAGAATGACAGAGTATATAGATTAAAAATTGTATTAAACTAAAGTATCCCAGTATTTTTTAATAGTTCAATATTCTGAAAATTTTCTATAAGACAATGAGATTCTTCTAACAGATAACTTCATATAATCTAGGTGTTTTCTATGCTATACTTAGATACGTGCTTTCTGTTATATCTGTACACTTTTTCTATCCGTCTAGTTTCGGTATTTATTTATTTTTGGACTCAAACGTTAGGTGATTGGAGCTAATGGCTAGGAAGCGTCAACCAACTTAGATCTCGTGTCAGTTAGCATCAAATCATCGAATTTAAGAATCGTAATTGTTCATATTTCACAATTACCTTTCAATACTGTTAATTTTACACTATTTCTGCACGAAATTAACTTAACTCATGTAATAGATTTTGTTCAAAATAACATAATGTGTTGTATACGTAATACCATTTAATCAGAGTGCATGAAAATAATTTACTAACTACTCTTATTTAGAGTTTGGTTAATAAAGATTCAATTTAAAAAAAAACTAATTAAAACCCGGAAGAAAAAAATAAGAGTGAAACTTACAAGTACAAGGAGAATTTAATCGACTGAATGACAAAACAACTAATGCTAAAAACTACGACTACATTTGCATAAACTCGATTTCATTTGAAAGAGAATAATAAGAATGTTACATTATATATATATATACTACTTTTATCATTAACATGTGGCTAACTCATATAAAATGAGTATGGATCCTAAAAAAGCCGAGAAACACATTGGGTAGCAAATTGGACAGGATAATAACTAGGTGATAAGAACTAGATAACATTCACTAGCTTGAGTGTAAGATTCAGGTCCCTAATATGATGCACATCATTCTCTGCGTTACTCAAAGTATTTAGTTTAGTGTCATTTTGAACTTTTCATTCTTTGATCTTGTTAGTCTTCAGTGCATAATAAGTTAGTCATAAGTAAATCAGAATATATATGTATCAGTTGACAGTACCACACTGAAACAGCATAATGAAATGAAATCATCAAGACAAATACCAGAGTAGTAGAAGCACTAGCATTGTCAGTGGTAATCGGAAATATTAGGCGTAGACAGGATTCGAGAAGAACTAACTTATGGAACGAAAGGTACAGAATAATTCTGGAACTCAGGATCTACGAAGAAACGGGTAGCAAATACATTTACGCTACTGTAACCAGTCATAACCCATGACACAACGCCCCCCCCCCAACCACTGGTTACAATAACCGTGAGGATCCCAACATGATAGTCTAAACATGTTATGTCTTACAACCAACCAATACGCGTAGACGACCTTAAGCTGCCAATGCGCAGCGAGGACTTGGAAGACTGATACTCTGGACCTGACGGTTGGCTCAATACTAACTAGCCCCGAACGAAGAGAAAGAACGCAAGACCAATGCTCACCAGTTTAAGATTAATAAATTCCAGACAACCATTTATATAAATACAAGACCAAACCAATGGGGTAACAGTATTAACGCGAAATAACAACATTAATGATGGGAAAACGGAGTCCTGGATATAGAAATAATTGGTTCTAGTTTATGAGCGGAAGTTCCTATAGCAACAAACTACGGTTCAAATAAAAGTTTAAAACTAGGCTAATAAGAAAACAGTAAAACCAAAATACTTAATAAAAATGCTATATATATATATATATATATATATATATATATATATATATATATATATATATATATATATATATAATTGTAGAAAAATAGCCTAGAAAGTTTTTACCTCATAATTAAACCGTCTCTTACAACAAAATCTACCAACACAACTCAATCCAATAGCTAGTGGTTCCATATACTGATGTTATATCTTGGTTTGGCTGCCCTTAGCTTTCTTCCAACCTACTCTTATACCACCAAACATCGTGCGTCGAGGTAGGTAGTGGTCGCTTATTTGTACTTCTTATGCTTAGATTTCTACTGTTCTCATTACTTAACTATCATATTATTCTCATTCTATTGATTTCCTCTCGCTGCTCTGAACTGAAAAGTAGCAACTAAGATTGGTGCACATTGGTGCTAGATCCTATAGTGGTAATGACTGACAACACTATGTATATATCTATACAGCAGTCAAAACATTATTTACCTAAGATGAATACATTATTTTAAGTAGACTTAATGTTATTAACAAAAACAATAGTTTTTGAAATATTTTACCGGAGATTTTAGCCATATTTCTTAAATAAAGTGTCATTAATTAAAAAACTAAATATATAACTTGCAAAAATATAAATAAAAAATATAGCGCGACAAATTACAAGGACAACTATAATAACATCATGAACAAGAACTTACTTCGTTGATTTGGATGTGTAACAACAACAAATGAAGATATCCAATCTGGTTGTGAATTTGAAGCCAAAGTGAATAGAACAGCCAGTGAAGTAGCATGTAATACAACAATATGTGCATATTGACCACAACAAAATAGTAGACGATAATCAAGGTAACATGTTTGATGTGACTGCAAGAACAAGAAGAGGATGAATTAACAAACAACTGATTGGGCAATAGGAAACTCCTTTGTTTGAATTTGATCACTAATCAATATTATCAGTAAGCATTTATTGAGGCTCAAGACTTAATGGAAGATAAAGAATGAATGCATCTGGACCGTTGTGACTTATTTTACACTATGACACTCAACGTCTCCAAACACTGACTGTAGTTACGGAGCGGACTCTAACTAATTAGTCTGTGTCTGACAACACGGCTCAAACTAACAGTCGATAACTTCATTGGCTAATGTTACGTCTTAGTTTGACCGCAAATAACTTTCTTACAACTTCTACTTCTCAGTCGATGTAGGAAGTGGTAATAATATGAAATGCATGTTTTAATCACCTTAGTTGATGAAAATTCACTACTTTATTAACCAATTTACCATCGTTAACTTCAGCATTATTATTACCAATTTATGTCTTTATTGAATATATGCTTGGTACAATATGGAGTTCTCAGTACAGCATACCATTGTTCACTCGATCTACCAAACGTATGCGAGCAGTATAATGAAGGTATCTACGATCAAATACTAATGACTTATTAATATCTATTATTTTTAAAGGTCACTTCTCAAAGCCATAAAATCGAACAGAACAAACAGCTCCATGATATATTCGTCCTTCGGTTGGCAGACGGATATCTCACCTACAACACATGTGACGCAAGTTGGCAAAAACCGTGTAGTGTCCTAAGCTCTAAATGAACAACTACTTAAATATATATTGACAGTAACGAGTAGGTTAGTGAAACAAACAAAAATAGTAGCTTATCGAAAAGTATAAGAAATAGAGAGATAATTACCAATAGTATAACAAACGAATAATAAAACAACACACACTTTGATATATGTATGGCGATAACGTGTGTCCATTTTGAATTCTAAGCATTTGCCGTCATTCCAATTCCAAACAGCCATTTCGCTAAAATAGTAGAATAATTACATAACAATAGTTATGAGGAGAAAGTGAATATAAAACTTAGATTCAGTAATCAAAACTATACAAGTTATTCCAGTAATTAATTGTTGGTCGCAGGACAGATAACGGGGACCGTCTACTGCAACTGTGCACAGACCACAACCTGCTTCTGGCTAGCAATAACTTTCGACACAGTCATCGCCGATGTGCCACTTGGCGTCCTCCCTCTGCATCTCAAGCCTGGACTCAGATTGATCACGTCGCAATCAGCTACCGCTAGCGTGGTTGTGTGCAAGACTGCCGCTCCTTTTGGAGCACGTGTCTGGACTCTGCCCATGCTTCGGTCTGCATCAATCTTACCTTACTTTTCAGTGGCCAACGAAGTGACCGTCACCAACGGATTGATGTTAGCAAGTTGGTTGCAACTTCTGTTGCAAGTAAGTATCGAACCGAGCTAGCTTCTAGGCTAGCTACCATTATTAATATTACACTACCTTACACCAATCTCTTCGTTATTGTTCTCTTTTTTACCCTCCTTACCTTTTTTTCGTTTTCCTTCCCCTTAAATCCTCATTGTTTTGTGTGGCGCATATATATTTGGCGCATTCTTGTACCAATATTTATGTGTTCAAATAAATAAATAAATAAATAATAACCCTTAAGTAAGTGATTTGGTGGATGAACAACACATTTGTTGGTGAATAATACGGTCGTCCATAAAAAAGAAGAGCTTTGTTCCTATGATCTGATATCTGGATGTCAAGTAATAAGTTATTCTTTAAAAACCTGTTGAACCTAACTAAGTCTCTAGATCAAAGCAGTTTTACGAGACGTTATGTTACAGTTGTATCTTACATGCAGGTAAAGCAGCATTTATGCTGTTGTAGATTTCATAGGGAGAAATAAGATGGAAGCTAAAGTGTACAATCTTTCTATAACTGATCCTTAAAATGCGTTCAAGACAGAACTGAATTCCAAGTAGTGATCAAGTTGCCTCTTAACAGCAGTCAAAATACTTAATAGATTTTATTCATAGTAAATAGGCTTTCGCGAAATTCTACATTTTCAAAACAGTACAGTTGATTCACTCATCTAATATTGTCATGTTTGATAAAAATGAGCCATCCGATAAATCTAAGTGCTACGATTTTAAAAGTAAAGCTACAACGTTGTGAATAAGTATGCACATATCCCCTGATAGCCCAACGAAAATGTACATATGGAATAGAAGACATAAAAACCAACCAACGAGTTACCATAAAGTAAAGTTAACGTGTCGTCAAAAAAGAGGTTCACTTCAACAAGAATTTATCTAGAGATTTCAAGGTTTAAAAAAGTGTTTACATTATTTGAATTACCTACGTCTTTATAACGTTGCTTTCAACGATTATACAACAAACGAGTATGCTACATAGAAGTATATGGGGCTGGAACTTCATAAAACCTTGCGAGAATGAATGAACTAAGAAATAGAGTTGCCTGAAAAAATATATGGATTCATCAGAAGATAGTGGCATCTGGAAGTTATTTTAAAAATTCTTTCTTAATGTCTAATTTTAACATGACATTATCACATTCCATCAATCCATATTTCAATGAATTTATAGAACTTCACCCAATTACATTCTCAACTATCTTATTTGGAACTTGGTGAATTTGTCACACTTCATTTAGAAACGTTAGTAAACAATGTTTAAGAAGAGAATGAGAACAAATACTTTGAAAATCAATAAACTGATGAAAGTACATTTCCTCTAGGCATAGAAAAATAATATATCGTAACAGTTTCAAGCAAATCTGGTTTAGAACGCGAATATATATATATATATATCGTGAGCCACAGTGAAAAACGATATTCTATGTGTATTCGCTTAAGAATATACTCGCAGTAAAAGAATGGGGTGGGTACAAATTTTTCCGATTACTCTACGCAACCACAATATGATTCACATGATGATTCTACTACCCACCAGTAATAATTTAGAAAGACCTATAATTAAATAATTACAACTTATGCACGTTACCTATTTTCATAGATCGTATTTCACAACCATAGAGTAATAAAGTGATGAGCTGTGGACTATACTCGTCCTTCAATAGACAAGAGATGTCTTGCGTACGCCATAATTACTTCAAGTTGCGAACCAATAAGTGGGTTTTATCTATCCATGTAAAGATATTTCCATCCACAAACATACCAAGGCTGATGAGACTATCAGTTTAAGTGGAATGGTTTATTGATTAGCTCACAAATTACAATAAAAATAGATGAAGACCAGTCCTGAAGTAATATTTTAAATTTTAAATAGAAACGAATGTTTCTCATTTATGGTTGCATTGTAATGAAGAATTCAAAAGAACAAACCTCTGACAAAAGTATGTCATTTGTTTACTTCAAGTCAATGATAATATCTCCGGAGTACACATAAATTTGTGGCCAGACGAGAAAAGTGATATCCACAGGAAAATATTCATGAGAAAACAGGATAAAAACGGAAAAAGTTGAGAACTTTTGTGGACGCCTCTTGACAAAATCAATTTAGATAACAGCTTGAAGCAAACTATGGTTATTCAGTGTTTGAGTAGTATTCAGTGAACTGATGCACTGTATGATTATCATATCAGTGGCATAAATCACGCAAAATCTCTTGATTGATGGGCTTACGAACTACTTTTGGGCGTGAAAACACAGGTACAATGCTCTAAACCGTGTTGAATTATAAACTCTTCGTGCATAAATTTATGGCCAGGTCTGAAGCATATTTAGCTTTACTATGTTTAATACTACATCATCATCGGTTAAGCATCTGAAGATTAAGGAAGCTGGGATCATTGAAAATACATTATTTAGACCAAGTCATGTCTTGTCATCGCAAGAGAATACTTCCTTTAAAAAGTCAGATCGTCAGCTGTATCTACCAAACAAAGACTCAAAAACTAGTATATACACCTTAAATATTCGTAGGCATTCACCATTAAACTAAAAATATTCCTTTGAACTGCATTATTATAAAATGTAGCTCAGTAGCAGAGATAATCATTGAACAATAGGCTTCGAAAAACACTAGTGTCATTACATCTGGTGCTAAGCTTGATTATACCACTGAAATACGCAGTTGTAACTTATACCTTAATGTCAATATGGATTGCCTTAAAAGGACTGTCAAAGTAGTGAAAGCTCCCTAAACTGAAACAACTCAGGTCAAACGTTTGTATATCTGTGAGAGCAAGGACTTGAAACATTATGAAATTCGTCCTAAGTATTATCTACCGACTTTTGCTATAAGTCAAAGTCAAATAAATCAAATACTTTGCAAACAGTAACTTACCCATTGATAGAATAGCTAAAGAAAAACTGATTTTTGGTCATGGGTGACGTTCCTGCAATGCACAGATTGGAAACCAAGGACTTGTGTCCAGTTAGCATCCACCTTGGGGCACATGAGCAGGAATTTCCTAGGCTCCATAGAATAATATGCCCATCTGCTGATCCAGTGGCGACACTTTCCCCATCTTCAGACAATAAAATCGAAGATATTTGATGATCAGGTGGAGTATGTGCCCACGTGACAAAGGGTATCACAGTGTTCCCACTTATTTTGATCATTCTTGCCCATAAGAATAACGAAAAGAAAAGGAATCACAAGTAAAATGACAATCGTAGCGTTATCATTTCACTACTGCGCTGCGATGAGTGGCCTTATATTAATCATTACAAACGAAATTGATGAATCCTCTTCATCAAACACAAAAGAAGTGTTAAAGTTTACGTAGTTATTTTCGTCTGTTCATTCTTGATCAATACTTGTACTAAGGTTGACTAGATTTTAATTGTTTACCATCTGTAGAGACAGTTAGCCTCAACTTGTTATGTAATTAGTTTTAGCCATTATTCTCATTTTTTGCGATTTCACATAATTCGTACAATTACTATTACTGACTATGGAACTTCTGTTTTATAAATTTTTGACATTGATCCTCCGTTCCCATTCTGTATTATCATGGCATGACTCTTCGATTATCGCTTACAAATACACTGCTGCACATACATACTTCTCGTTCTAACTTATCAGCCGTCACAGTAATAGAACTCGAATATATTTGCTGTTTAAGTTTACAGATCTCATTGATATTCTCATCATGTGACTACTCTTAAGACACACTTTGAATTATATCAATCATATTTCGAATAACTGACTATTTACAATTGTGGATTATGAAACCGGAAAATAATCTCGGCACGCCTCTTTCTGACAGTTTAAGTAACGTTTCATAATTTTATTTATGTCTAACTTGTATCTCGGCATATTTTCGACCCTCTACCTTTTTTTAGTAACCATCATTATTTTGGAACTGATATATTTCGTCCACCATACACATCATTTATATAAACTAAAATGATCCAGATGGTTATGGATGGAATAAAATAAGCATTTTTTCGACGAGTTTCCGTGTCTAGATTTAATGGATCATGGTGCCTCCAGATAATAACGTATGTATATAAAACAAATAGAGACAAAAGAGGTAAATTAATACACCATCTTACTCTCAATTCCTGGGAAAATTTCAAGTTTCTCTCTGGAAAACTCAAATTGAAAGTTCAAATATATGTATGAGGGACAGAAGATCGGCAACTTATGTTATTTCCTTTCCAGTAAGCTTCTTTAAGTGTCCATTCTTCGCCGAAATGGATAACCCGAAAGCTCAAATACCACTTTCGGTAGTATGTTCCAGGAGTTGATAACTCGATGTAAGAGACATGTATTCCATGGTAGTTTATTCACTCTTGGCTTTTTGACTCTCTTATATTCACTGAGTTTTAATGATCTGATAGACACGAAAGCGAAAGATATATCAGGTTCAAAGTCACTTCTGAATATTTCATGCATCATAATCAGATAACCTCTTGATCTTCGGTAGAATAGAGTAATGAAGTCTGACATCTGAAACCTCCCCATCTTTGGTAAACCTAGAAACTCTGGAATTCCATGGATAGCTGCCTTCAGTACATCATCCAAGATAAACCTTCTAAACGTTGGCTCACATATTTAACGCAATTTTAAAGTGTTTATCTCACTAATGTTGTGTATACTAATATACATTTATCTAAACCGGCAAATATTTATCCTATAGCTCAAAGTATCTGCAGCCACCCGGTAGTGGGCCTCGATCTTAAGACATTGAATCACTTTTATCCCTAAATCTCTGTAAGACAGGATAATATGGCTCCGACGCTTCCCCAGCGCTGTAGCGATTTCCCAACTTGTCCACTTTGTTAAATGTTAAAACTAAATTTTATCCAAACTTAATCTAAGTCTTTCCAGTAATTGTGAGCTTAACTTCAACGATTCTATGGTTAGGATCCACCGTTGCAATAGTCCTGCCATATGCTGGTTTCCATACAGAAGTTGTGAGATCTGCGCTTACCTACCAAGAAGTCTTTGACTTATTTTGGCTGAAGTTATTCCGAGACTTACCAGCCCCGAAATAAGTCTGCTGTGCGGCACTATATCAAATGTTTCACTAAAGTCGACATAGGCAACACCATCTGACTTTCGATTATCTAGCAACCCTATCCATCCCTCTCTTGTTGTAGGAAGGTTAGTTTTACAATATAACCCTCTACTAAAACCATGTTGCTCAGTGTCTAGCAAATTATTGATGTTCACGAAGGTCGTGACAACCATAATGATTATTCTTTCCAGTATTGTAACCACGATACTGGTGAGGCTGATAGGCCTGTAGTTTGATAGAAGTCTTATTCCCGTCTTGTGAATCAAAGTGAGAGTTGCATCCTTCTAGTCCTCATGTGAGTCGCCCTAACTAAACGGAATCTTGAATACGATAGTCAGCAGTGGACAGTGCATTGTGTGTTCTGTTAATTTTTATGTATGTAGTAATAAATGCATTTAGTACGTCGTCTCGATAGAAGTCTATAATGTGTAGTTCACGAGAAGACACTGGTCCTGAGCCTAGTCCTTTGTCGATAGGTGGCTCATGATTGAAAACGATCCCGAAATAATCGGCTGTCTTGGTCGTCCCCCATCGATAAAGATGCACTCCCCTCCGCAATTACTTTGCTTGAACCTTCTCAACAAATTGCTATTTTTAAGATCTGGCCGCCCGAAGGAAGTAGAATGTGCTCCCACAGTTCAGCTTGCCATGTTTGACCGGAACTCCCCCGGTATCCCTCAAAAGTTAGCGTTAGAACATAGTTTTGGCAGGTCTCTTAGATGGTTCTGAGGATAGAGTGGGATGCAGTCACTCGTAACAAACTGACTCCAGTCAACTATTTTCTAAGATACAAGGGCCCAGGGGCTAAAGGAGCTTCTCGTAAGCCTCCAACTTGAGCAAGCAAACTGATTCTGTAGATCGAATTTGAACAATTGGAAAGTCTTGCTGGAAAGCTGAAAAAAGTCTTTCAAAATAATTATATGCACATTTATCTGTACCACTATAATGATAGACCGGATCCAAAAATCCTAGATTTTTCTTAATATGAATACCTAATCTCTAAGATCTTACATGGGAATTATATCATCATCTATATTTACTGGCCATATGGTTACAGTCAGCAATACGACGTTTAGTACTTTGGAAGAACACATTTCGGCAGGGGATAAAACAATATATTTAATGTTGGAAGGTACGAGTTATACGATATGGTCACGCTCACAAGGTTGAGCCATGCCATACTGATCAACTCTTCCCGCCTTCACCATTGTTGGCCTTCTGTGATGATCAAGAGTATTTGAATTATAGTATGAACTAAGAATCCCAGAAATAACGCAATTGGATCATGAAGTACTCGATAAGCACGAACGAAGGTACTGTATTTAGAATTCGAAATCAAGCATTCAAAAAGTGCAAAGGAATTGTAGACGAGTTGGGATTACCAATTGTAGCGTGGCGCCGAGTTGAGGTTAACTATGAACACCGCTACCAAGAAACACGTGCCAAATAAATCAGAAGGCGAAGGTTGAACGTAAGCAAAGAAACCCATAAAATCTCCGAGAAGCCAAATATCAGAAGACAGTTAATGGACCAAGTCGATGTTTATTTGCTGGCGATCTCGTGGCATCGAAAGGATACCGAGATCGTGCCAGGATACAAGCTTGGTTACAGAAGGTAACCGAATTCGCGCGAAGTTACAATCGAAGTGTAAGCGAAAGAATGGAAGCACAAAATAGCTGTCATTAGCACAGTCAAACAAAAGCACATTAAAACAGTCACTGGTACAGTTGGTTATAATAATAATTGTTTTTAATAAACCAGTCGTGTTCTCGTGATAAACGTGAGTCACTACAGAATCATTAGTTCATCCAAACACCACACCTTCTTAGCATTCTCTAACATGAACTAGGAGTATTAGTGGACGAACTGAAGCCACTCATCACAGCTGAGACCGAAACTTGGTTGGACCATGACTATGAAATCACTTCAGAATTATCGGGATACAACTAAATAAGAAGTGGCCATCCTCAAAGCCTTAGACATTCCAAAGGGACATAAGGTTGCGACATTTAGAAGATCCCACCTTCAATGGACCTATCCTTGACCATCAGTTGCACATTTGCAACACAACTTTCATGAAGCGCGCCAACTGTGGTACTGATTAAAACCATCTACATTCATATCTTACAAATTATCAACCCAACTATGTAATTTACTACAGTGGATATTGTATCCTTTGTATCAATTTGATCTTGCCTGTAAACTGGCATGCCTCATGTAACAAACTGTTATTTGAGAATAAATGATTATAGAGACCTAGTATTTTAACATGAAGTCGACCTCGAGAATCATGTTCCAAGTCAGTGTGGGGCAAACCCATAATTCATGTTGAAAAGGCTTCTTGTCAATCGTTAGCTCTAAACCTATCTTAGAACACGCTTTCAAGGGTTCTCCGCTCGCGGTAATTAAGGTAGAAGAGCATTGTTTACGCTGAGTGCTACGGTTAAGTTTCTGCAAGAGGTCTTCCTTGATCAAGGATACTGAAGCTCCTGTATCTAATAGCATATTAATCTCAGTACTTTGCACTATACCCCTAATAGTAACAGGGCGCAAATGTTTAACATAGCAAGACGATATATGCAAATGGCACTGCTTACCTCTGTTTTTCACGTGGTTATGCCCGCATTTCTTGGCATTTTTGCCGAAACGTCTGCAGTAGAAGCATTCCGTTTGCTGGTCTCAATAGTTGTCCCTTGACGACCGTCCGTTCCATGTGGAAGTCGGATGCCCGGTTAGGGAACTGTCTAATAGCCGCGGCACTTTGAAAGCTATCTTGTCGATTAGGTTAGGTGGCTTCATCGATAGTCATCACGGTTGGTCGATAGGTCGTCAATGAAACAGATAGTCTTTCAGCAGTCAAAAATCGAAGTGCCGTTCGTTTCAAGTCGGCTGTGTCAGCCGGTGGCGCTCGGAGTAGATGTTCTCGCAGTGCACCTGGCAGCAGTCCTTCAATAAACCGGGAGCGTGTAATTTCTTCTCGCCCCAAGATGTCCAGGCTAGGGAATGCCTGGGTTGCTATCTGCTGTAATGAGTGAAGATAGTCGATGGGGCTTTCATTAGGTTTCTGGTGGCGAGACAAAAATTGGATGGCTGTCTGCTGGGTATCCACTTTCAACGAAAAACATTCATCTAAAATCTTCCAAATTTGCACTCAGTAAAGCCGTTAGCTGTCTCTCGTTTCG